AATGTTATTGGAACAAACAAACACAGCTGCTGTGTGCCCGCTCGCTGCTGGGTTGCAGGAGTTTTATTTTTATAGTGATGGCGCAAATATGATTGACTTACGGTTTTATTTTCGATATTTAGAGATATTTTCGAAGAGATTATTATTGAACCGTTTAATAAAATGAAATAATATGCTAAAACGACATGTATTAGTACTTTTTGCAGGGTTAACCTACTTTATGAAGATTTATTTGACAAATTAGTAATGGAACTGACAGTTAAAATCCACTGGGTTAACTTAATCCGGTACAATTTAAAAGTACTATACCTCTCAAACTACAGATGACTGCGGTTTGAGGCATAAGTATAACAGCTGTTTTGTCTCCTACCTAAAATAAAATCGTTTGAAATGCAAATTAACACAATCAGCAGTTTTATAAAGGCTTCTTGAATCCAAAAGTGGTTGGAGACGGCCGAGAGAAATTGTAGTTTGCAAACTCTATGCAAAGAATATGGCCCCTTTGGAGTATACGTATGACAGCTGTGTTTACTACTAATCTAAATCTAAAAGCGTTCGAAAAGCCCAACTAAAACTATCAGCTGATTAATTAAAATTTTCATGAAGTCATGTTTGCGGCGTTTTTAACAACTGCTACCTACTCTAAAAGCGATCGAAATGCAAAATTAAAACAATCAGCTGTTTTATAAGGCTTATTTTACCCAAACGCCTACATCCAACCGCTTTTAGGTGTTTTTGACAGTCGAGATAAATTCCTATTTGGTTCACAATATCATTTATACTCTCTATTCTAAGATTATGACCCGTTTGAGGCATACGTATGACAGCTGTTTTGACTACTACCTAATCTAAAAGCGTTCGACAAGTACAATCCAAACAATCATCTGATCCATTAAACTTTTCACCAAGCCATATTTGCGGTATTTTTAACAACTGTTTGAATTTGAAGTTTGGTTCAGTAGTGACTTGATTTGCATTGGAAAATTTCAACAACGTCAATTCTCAAATTGTAGGCGGAAGAAATAAAGGGTCAACAATAGCCTCCATTTCTTCTCTAATAACTGAATAAAGAATGGTGAAATTAAAAAAATGCCTTTTGTAAATCAAAAGCATGATCTTTCAATAAATATAAACCATATTTCTTCTTTAAAAGTGTTCCGTAATTTTAATCATTTTACTAGATTTTTGTAAATATTTATTATCTACTAGCTTAACTATCTGTAAATCTGTGCTACCTTTTCCAATAGCTTTATAATGCCACAAAAAATAAGCTAAAAATTGGGCGCATATGTATTTTTCATGGAGAATGAAAATAGGGAGAATTGAGAGATTTCAGTTATGTTACTCTGTAAAACACCTTTCAAAATAAACACATGTGCAACCTAACTAAAAGGCGTGGCATATGCTTTGAATATCGTGTAAACTCGACCTTACACATAAGTATATAAAACCGACTTTAATCATTAATAAAAAGTACCTAATTAATAAGCGTATTGTGTTGGGATAATAAACATAGGTTTACATTGAAGTAATTTTAATAAAATAAACCATTTAAATGGAAAATACTTTGATAATACTAAACAAAAATTGATTAAAAAATTAAATAATTATGTAATAATTACATTTAAACCACTTTGTCTGGGAAATACGGTCTCTTCCCCTTGAAATATTTACGAAATTTAAGTAGCAAATTGTTTATAATTGCAAACTGATTCTGGTTCATCACGGTAACCGGTTGCTCATTTGATGCTTTGTCGTTTCTACATCTCTACAAACTTGTAATGCCAACAACAAATGTACCCTGCTGTTGCAAAGTGCCAAAAACCCCAAATGTCAAACATTGCTACCCAGCTAAATGTATTCAAGCCAAAGGAGACTAACAAAAACTGTATAACGGATATCACATGGCTGGCTTAGTAGCTGTAGGTTATCTGCATTAATTCAAGTGATTTCTTGGTCCAGTCATTCAACCATTGGCAATATATTTTTCAAAAATAAAAAAAATCTTTATATTGGCATTGAAGTGTTGCAGATTTTTATTTTTAAGAAGCCAATTGTCTGTCTGGCTCTAATCCATTTGAATCTATAATGGCAGCACTCACAATACCAGCAACAACAAATGGAGCCTCTAATATTAAATGATGATGATGGCTATGAGACAGACTCTGCAAATCAACTACAAAGATGTGTTATTGCTGGTGGTACTTTTTTGATGCAAACTCCTTCGATATTACCATAAAAAGACTCATTGATGGTGGTGGCAGGCAGGCAGACCTGCTGTTGCTGCTTCATTTTCTTCTCCGTCTGCTTCTCTATGACTATTCCATTGAGAAATTGCAGAAATAATTACAATGCAGTTGCACTTTTGCCACCCTTGCCTTTATGATAATGGATTTTGGCGGAGGAACTGGGAGGCAAGCAGATTATACACCACTTTGTTGTTTGATCAATCAGTATATATTATTAGCCTGAGAAGATGTAACTTTTTGTGTAGTGTAGATTGCATGTCAATAGTACATTTTCCATACTGATATTTTGTCTTCTACTTCTGCTTCTTTTTCTTCCAACAAAGTATGCATAATATTTTGTCCATAGATTATGACATGGACGAACTTCTCTTCTTTTTTCAATTAGGGCCAAATGTAATGTTATGACACATGACTAGGGAAAAAACTGTGTAATTGCAAATTACCATTATTATCATCTTAATTGAAGATATAAACAAATCGTGGAATTAGAAAAATTAAGTTTAACAAAATGCAAATATGATTCTCATATAATTCAATTAAAAAAATGGGAAATGTGAATTTCCTTCATCATGTATTGTTTTCATAAAACCCACTTTAATGTAAATATGCTCTGTTTTAGTAAACTAGGTTTAATGTAAACATGTCCTGTTTTAGTAAGCCACTTTGTATGTAAAAATGCCCTGTTTTAAAAAGCCCCTTTATATGTAAACATGTCCTGTTTTTTTAATAAGTCCCTTTATATGTAAACATGCCCTGTTTTAATAAACACCGTTTGATGTAAACATGCCCTGCCTACTCTCTTATTTGGGCGTACCTAATTAAAATGCGTACCTCATTATGTAGTATCTCTTCCGGCCAACGACTGTCACCTTTGCCCTTTCTCTAACATTTGCCAGCATTTTCCCGCTATTTTCATTTTCCTACACATTTGCAGCAATTTTCTCATAATAATATAACAGTTTTTATACAAATATATATTAGAAAAAATTGTCTGTCATTAGTTATTTTACCTGGTCATAATGATTTGACATAACCTTTGGCTTATATACATATAATTCGACAAGACAAAACCCCTCAGAGCATGCATGACTTACAAATTTCTTGCACTAATTAGTATCAGAGGTGATTTAATCAATAAACCATAATTGTTTTATATAAAAATAGAAAAAAAAATCAACTTACACATGTCCACCAGACATGTTTCCAACCAACCAACCCCTACGCATCGCGCCATCACACCTTGTAACCAACTCAACCAACCATCCATTCATAATGAGTATTTCCTCTTCTATCTGTGCACCTTCGTTGTCTCTTCTAAATGAAAATTTTCTTTCACCATAGCTATCAGCTTTACGTGTCGTTTAAATTCTTAATTGTCATGGCTAATATTCTGTGTGTGTGTTTTTTGTGGCTAATATGTCTAAAGCCGCTGGTGGTTACATTCGAGAGGTGTTTAATCACCCAACTAGCAACATGTGTGTGGTTGCGTTTTTTCTTCTTCTCTAATTTTCTTGGACACTTGATGGCGATAAAGATTTCTATCGCCACGGCCGTTAGATAGTTATACACCAAGTCCATATGTATTTTTGTTGTTGGTTATTTTATTATTGCATGTTTGTTAGTAAATTGTAAATTACAATTTAACAGATATTACAGTCAGAGTTTTTTTTCTTCATGTAATTACTTAATGATTATATTTTAATTGCAGCAAGAGGTCAATGGCCTTTTGTTGGAAATTTTATTTTGAACAAAATTAGGAAATAATTAGAAAAAATAAATGTTCAAAATTATGTAATGATTTCCTTCTGAAAGTATTATTTTTAAAGACAATAAAGCAAAAAGTATGAATTAAAAATAGTTACAGGTTTAAAATCGTAAAAACGATCGAATTGTTCATTGTTTATCGATGTCAGCCGATAAAAATTGTCTTTTTTCATTATTAAAACGCATTATTTTCCATAATATGGAGATGTAATAACGCCCAAAAACAGTTTATAGGTGTGAAACCTCCTTTATATCTCTCTTTTGCCTTTAAGCTCAGCATTGCCAAAAATTAAGATTTTATAAACTAAAAGTATGGTTGTCGTGTAATCACGCTCACTCAGCTGCTTAATGGTGAAAAATATATCGTATCTTTCCCTTTTATTTGATAAAACAAAAATTGCAAAAAAAAAAAAGACTATCTAAATTTATGTAATGACCTTCAAGTTGTCTGTTTTATTATACATTTTTATTAATTCGTGATAAATATTTATTTAAATTCTTTATTAATTTTGAGCGTTTATTCACCAATAGCGCACCCCTCGTCTCTCATTAAAAAGTGGAAATATTAAGAACTTGTCCAACTATACGGGAAGATTATTGATTGGAATTTATGAGACACTTGGAAACTTGATAGCTATTAAAAAGTGGATGAACGGTTAGGAAGATGCCAAAACAGTTAACTGAAAATAAAATCAAGTTATTGCTAATTAACTTAGGCTATGACGATACTAGCTACTAGTATTAAGCCATATTTATGTTCATAACTTTTTTTATTTTTAAGTGGATATGCCTGGTATTTAAAAAACAGTCATTGAGAGCAAGCCACTGGCTGTAAAAAAATAACGATTAAAATTTATACGTCTTCATAAGATTACTGGTTGGGGATTTCATTGCTTCTAAACAGTTTACATTGATTTATTTTTGTATTTTAATTTATTTAATCAAACTTGAAAATAATCTAATCTATTTTTTTTATTTTGTTTTTAGGGTTTTGAGACCACCAGGTGGTGGCACCAGCGACATTTTCGGAGGTGACTTGCCACAAACTCCACGCAATGTCAAAAATCACATGCAATCAAACATATTCTCTTGTGAAAAGGACAATGTTAAAAATAACGGTAAGAATACCAAATAAAAGTAGATTTAAAATCAATTAATAAAAATTTAAAATTTTTTGTAACACATTTATATGGCTATTTATACATATTTATTATAAAATAATGCTTCTTTTTTAATTATACGTTGTAAAATGTATTTCAACAAAATAAGGCTTTTTGTCATCAACAAAAATGAAAACCTTGCCATATATTAATTTTTATTATTAAGTGTAAATACAAATATTTTGCTTGTCTTTTTTAGTTACAGATTTTATTATTATTTTTGTTTTTATAATTTAAATTTTGTATTATTATTATTATTTTAGTCCATACAGTATTCTTTGAAAAAAAGAAAAAGCAATTCATTAAGAATTTCTTTGTCTTATTTTCTTCTTCTTCTATTTTTTTTCATTCTCTTTTTTACCAAAACGAAAAAAACAACCATTTCTTGTGTTCCTTTCTTTTTTGGTGGATATCCATACTAAAAACAAAAATATATATTTAAAAAAAAAACAAACAAACGAAACAACATTAAATGTGCAGTACGACAAGGAGCTCACAGATTCTATTTCATCGGTATTGTTATTGTTGTTGTTTAGATATAAATTGTCTTGTTTCAATTTATTTAATTTTTTGTTTTTGTTTCATTGTTAATATGTTGTTGTTTGTTAAAGTTGTTTTATTACCACCAATGCAGAATCCGCCCTTTTTATAAGACACACCCACGTTTAACCCTTAGATGGAACACCATGTTGGCTTAGCCCTTTGTCCTAAAGGGGAAACACATACGAGTATTCAGGCCTAACCTGTTAAATCTGCTTTGTATGAAATTGTAAATTTATAAAGGAACATCAGGGTCAAACTGCATTTTGGACGCGGTTCTCCTTTATTCTTTTACAAGAAAATAATCCAACTTAACATGCCAAGCCTAAAATCCTTTTATGTGTTTCCCCCATTAAGATATGTATTTTTTTGTAATTAAATTTGGTGAAATAAGTATCACCTCCTCCGCACACACATACACGGCAAATATCAGACAGCAATAAAATCACTTAACAAATCTAATTGCAATTACAACAACACTGCTCTTTCTTACACTGCAATCCTTGAACAGAATTATTGCCCCCCAACTCCACTCACAATTAATAACATTAAGAGCTAAGCTGCTGCTAAACTAGAACCTCTTTAGCAGTTTTTGTTTTGCAAAAATGTAAATAATACTTTACAAATTATTTATTAGAATTATATAATGTAGCCATCATGTGTTTTCTTACTGCATATCTCAACATATTATAGAAGATTGTGTCAAAATAAAATTAAGGCTGGGGTGTATTCACGGCCAAATTGTAATTAGCAATGTGGATCACCATTCCATACGGTTTTCTACGTTACAGTGTAATAAAGACTACACTGCGGCAAAATAAAAACAATGATGTAGTGTAATCATGGCCCGAACATTAATTTGCGAACACAGGAGTCAGTCAAAGTTTTGTTTTCATATCCCTTACAAGTTTCTATTAGAAATAAACTAAAAAAGGACCCTAAAATGAAAGTGAACTTTAAGTGTAATCACGACCAAGAATTATACTAAGGTTATTAAGGTGTGAAGCTTCCAGGTTTTCAGCTCGTCATTTCACACTGCTCATTACAAAGTAATGGATGTGTGTACAGTATCAGAACAAAAGAAAGCTTAAATCGTGTAATCACAACAGTTAACCGATCATGTGTACCTCTCGTAATACATTACTGTATTCCCTTACGCAGTTAGACTGAAAAAGTAACTGCATCGAAAATGTAATTACGGCATTTGTTAATTTTTTTTTACTTTGAGAGCCTTCTCATGGTTGTCTCTATCTTATTCCCATTACAATATATAAAAAGTACAGCTTAAGTGTAAACACGCACCAAACTATTTTACACTATCTCTCTCGTCTTTCCCTCACTCCTTGTAATAAGATGACACTTAAAATATATTATATGGGAAGGTTAATTAGAAAAAAATACACAAAAACCCCCAGAATTGAAAAATTTCTCACACAAGAAGAATTAAAATACATTATTAGTTGCATACTTTCAGGCTCCGTATAAAAATTTTATCTCAAAACATAAAATTTCAACACAAGGCCCAGGAAGAATTTATTTTAGATACAATAATGCTCTTCGGACTTGCCAAAAACCCTATTTTAGTTCAAGCAGGTATCCAACACAGCCATAAAGCAAAGATCGATTCCATAAACCACAATACATCAACTACTCTAAAAATTTTAAAACCATTTCCTCAGAAGATTTGGCAGAAATTCTATTCATATTTTTATGTGGGAATTCTTTAAATTAAAACTTGAATTTGAAGACAGAGGAGGAATGAAAAATCGCATAGAAAACCCACATTTGTTATTTCCGACTTTCTAGCCAAAAAAAGTTCGTCTCGAAAATCCATATTTTTTATCTGCCAAATTTCAAAATTCTTGAGCTATATCACGTAAGCCACAACATCATATCTCAATCCTTTAATCAGGTTGGGTCTGTGTGGTGATGGTGTAGCGGTGAGAGGGGGGAAATATTGAACCAAAAATAGAGGTGAAAATTTTCAATTTTTTAATTTAATCTTGTGGTAGTTTAGTGGAATATATAATTTCCAATTTCATCTAAAGGAAATTATAAAAAAATGGGTTTGATGATGTATGGGATCCCATAGACGATTCTAAGTGTTTATCAGTAAACTTAAATCTATTTGTTCTTTCACTGAGTTAAATTTTACAGAATTTTATACTTATTTTTTATTCCATATCTTGTGTTTTGAAATCTCAAAATTCCCAATCAAAATCAATAATTGAAATTTTATTAAAAATTACACATTAAAATATAAACACCATTTTCCAATGCCAATTTTGACTAATAAAAATAACAATAATACACTTTGTTGTTATTTGTAGTATCTAGTTTATACTTCCTAGATTTTAATTAACCAACATTTTCTTCTTAAACAAATTTTTATTAACCATTTAATTTCTGTTTTTTTTTTTAATAAATAAACAACAATTCATAACTAATAATTTCCATTTTTTTCTCCATTTCCCTTCCAAAAACCCCTAATGCAGGTGAACAACCACGTCGCGCTCAAAAGAATGTTGACTCATATCAACGTCTATTCGGTGAACCTGAGCGTGTTGTTACTCCTGCCAAAAATCACATGAGAAGCAACATTCCATTCGGTGCTAACAATGAAGCGGCTCAAACTTTGATCACCAATGGCAATGGTCATCATTACAATGGCAAAAGTTCATCTGTATCTTCGGCCTCGTCATCGGTCTCGTCGTCAACTGAAAATCTCAAGATGAATGGTTACTCCAAAACAGGTGAGAAGAAATGGCGATTTTTTCATTTATTCAAATTGTATATTTCCTTGTAGAAATTTTTAAGAATTTCCGTTTGAATGGCATTTTGCATAATTTCTTTTTTAATTTATTTTTTTCATAAATTTTTATTGTTTATTTAATTTGTTTTTGTTTTAATTTATTTATTGTTGTTAGTTTCTATAATTGTAAAATTATTGCTTTTGTTTATTGTTTGTTTATTTAATAATTATTTGGGCGGGGCATCGTCATCATCATCAGCAGCATTGTTGTGGAAAATTAGTTTTTCATTGTGAAATGTTGAGGAAAATCTTTGGAATTTGTTGTTGTTCGTAATCACTACCGTCAATAATTCAAGGAAATAATAAAGGTCATAGTGGCGAATTATGACATTGTAGTACCTAGTACCCTATACTAAGGCTAAATATCTACTACTTTTTTCATATAACTTCTTAAACGTTAAAAGACGTAGAATTTTAAATTCTTGAAATTAAAATCTTCAGATTTTGCAAAACAAAAACAATGACAATTTATATAAAATGATTATTTATTACCAACAACTCCTCCGGAACTCAAATTTCCATTTAATATTATTCCGAAGGAGAATGCAGCAAATCTCCCGATTTTTTTCATTATAGGACATCTTGGATTTTGTATATAAATTGAAACCTTGCGAAAATTAGACAGTAGATTTGTCGTTTCATCAACTCAATTCCCTGACATATAAGCGTTGTTAGTATAAGAATATAATAAAAGTTGCATACTTTCGGGAGGCATCCTTATATTTTCTTAATTTTTCCACATGGCGGAAACTTCTGTTCCTCTCCCCTTCTTATTATTACAAGCGTGGATTTGCATTATGAGAGACCAGATGGAACACTGCGAGACAGACAGAGAGTGTTCCTATATAGGAGCTAGAAATCTTCAATTTTTGAAAATATGTTCCTTTAAGTCACATACCTTTAACGGACTTTAGTCACAGGAATTTCAGCTAGTTTGATTTCCAATAAAAGATTTCCATAACCAGTCTTTGTCACCGATTTCGAGTGGATTTGTCTGTAGGGCAGTTTTCCTCTTTCAAACTCCGTCATTGGTTAAAGTAGTTTTTTAAATATTTTTTAATTTCAATCACATTTACTTTGTTTTTTTTATCAGTCAAAAATAGTTTTCAATGAAGTAGAATTGTGTCAAATATTTTTAAAAAAGATAATTATATTAAAAAATATTACATATCTTCACGCTTCTTTATAAAAACAACAAAACAACTTTCTTTTAAAATCTTCTTTTCTGCACGCTGCAAACTTTTTTGTTTTAACAAAAAAAAAAAAAAAAAACAATAGTTTATCATCGCAAAATGAGTAGTAAGTAAATGACAATTATACATATATCCCTATAAAAAATAATCCTAAATTCCCCCCAAAATCCTCCCATCCTATTCTCCCATATTTTCTAGAAACAGAAAACAATGATTTTAATTGCCCACCATCGCCAACCAAATCTTTTCAATCTTCGCAAGAGAGTAATGTCGTGGAACCACACATTGTGTCGCCGAATTTCAATTGTGATACACAAACTCCTAGAGGTTTTCAAAATTCTTCAGAACAATGTTTAAATGACAGCAATTTCTCTGCAGATTTGGGTATTTCCCATCTTGCCAGCCAAACAAGCTCATCTACGTGTTGTAATCCAGAAAATCCATATTCTTTAACAACTAAATTTCAAAATTCTATCAGCGATGATTCAAATTCCCGCAAATTTCAATGTGGCAGTGTCTTGGAATGTGTGGATATGTGTAATGCCACAAAGGCAACAGCTTCAGCACGCAATCCTTTAATTGGTTTGGGTCTGTGTGGTGATGGTGTCGGTGGCTGGAAGCCAATTAAACCAAAAACACGTAGAGGTGAAATGTTTTCATATTTGTTATTTCCTTAAATTTTGAGTACTAAGGAATGGCTTATTCTAGAAAGGTCAGATAGGTGCAATATCTTTAGAAATACTTTATACATACTTCAGAATTGAGATAGTTCCCACAGGAGTGCAATAAGAGTTTGTTTAATAATACCACACTAGTTTCCCGAAACTCTTCTCGTGGAAGACCAGAAAGTCTTTTCATGGAAAGTCGGACATATACCTGGTGATATACTTATAAAATATCAAAGGGACTTCAATTAAACCAAAAACACGAAGAGATGAAAAGTTTTACCTTTTATAAATTGCTATGGAATGGCGTCTTCTAGAAAGGTCAAATAATGCAAGATCATTAGAAATACCCAAAAACTATTTTTTTATAGAAGATTTGAGAAACTTCTCACAGGATACGAGAAAATTTTGCCTAGTTTCCCGAAACTATTCTCGTAAAATATATGAAAATCTTTTCATGGAAAATCGGACATATACTGGTTTATCTACTTATAAAATATCGATAGGGACTTCTGATAGAAGAGAAGGCCAGAAAATAGGCTTAATTTGTTTTCTTCAGAAAGGCCAAAAGATCACAGATGAACTTCAAATAGATATTAAGAATGTGGTTTCGAAGGATTTGAGTAGGACTTCCAATGGGACTAGAGGTTTGATATGAGAAGACTCCTATTTATAGATGTACTGAAGCTCTGAAAGTATTTATCAATTAAATTCGGAAATGTTCATTCAAATTAAAAGATCTGTATTACTTTTCCCCCCAAAGAAGATCTGCAGGTATTCCTCCTTCCAGAGAAGATGGTATTCTCATGGAACACCACAAAATATTTTAGAAGACAAACTTTTTTTATCAGCAATTATTCCAATAGAAGTCGAAATAATTCCTCTGAGATATTCAATTAGTAAAAAAGTGTCAGTCGGCGTCGCCGACAGATTTATAACCTCATTCTATGGTTTGCGGAGAAGGTTTTCGGAGTTACACACATGTTTTATTATTCGCTTTATATATGGTGCAAAGTTTGGTTCAAATCGGACATACCATTAGCCTGATATTGTATTAAAAAAATATTGAAAAATTTTGACCCTTTGTGAGGGATGTACTAGAAGGAGTGGACCAATTTCTCCCACCTTCCTACTTTATATAGGCTTTGTAATGATAATAAGTTGTGCAAAGTTTGGTTCAAATCGGACATACCATTAGCCTGAAATTGTATTAAAAAATATTGAAAAATGTTGACCCTTTGTGAGGGTCATGTACTAGAAGGAGTGGACCAATGGGTCCCACCTTCCTACTTTATATAGACTTTGTAAAGATAATAGGTTGTGCAAAGTTTGGTTCAAATACCATAGTCCGTTCGCATGATATTATAAAATTATTTTTTTGCACAATTTTTGACCATTTTGTGTAGACCGATATTCCCCATCTTCGATCTTGAACTAAGTTTGGAAGAAATAATAAGATGTGCAAAGTTTGGATGAAATCGATTATTCCCCTGGAGAGTTATCGTGCGCATCTGCTGGCCCGATGGACAACGAACGGATGGACATTTGTAAATCGACTCCAAATTTTCTGAAACGGATTTGGTCAAAAGAAAAATGGGGTTTAAAATCAATATTTCGATGAGACTCTTTTTCACCGTATCAAAGTGTATATATCCTCATTAGCTATAAGACTGAGGGCATAAAAATAAAATACTAACATGTCTTATTATAAAGTATCAGGACATATTCCCATAAAAATCTGAAATATTATAAGATAGTGTTGTTATCGAAAACCAGGTTATTTCAGAAAACCAAAAAGTTTGCTATCAGAAGGTTATACGAATTTGAGAAGACCAAAAAAATGTTTTTCTGAGAATCCCGGAAGGAAGTTTTTATGACATTTTTCGTTGAAACCTCACAATATTCTCTTTCACAATGTCTTCATAAAGAAGATCAAAAATATTTTATTTTCATAGAAGACTAAATGGTCCTCCGGAAGACCTCACGCATCTTATACAATTCCAAAATATATTTGAAAGGTCACATATCCCAAAGGCTTTTATAAGAAGGCCTCCGTTTTCTGAAGAGCCATGTTTCCATAATATTCCCCTTATATTTCCTCATCTTTCTCCCCCTCCTTGCATATTATATAAATATTTAAATTAATATCATTATTATATATATAAATATTTTTTTTATATTTTAACTTAAACCTTTTTATTAATCAATTTCTTTTCTCCCTACCAGATGGTAATCCTGTCACCGGTGAAGGTTATACCAAGAACAATGATTTCTCAAATCATACACCCAGCTTGAATGGTGCCAATCAAGTCATCAATAAAAATCGTATTCCCCCCGGTGGTTTCTCTTCGGGTCTCTGGTAAATTGTGTCTCCAGTGTGTCTTGTTTGCGTTATAAACAACTAAATTTAGGATTAACAACTCTCTCCACATCTCTCTCCTGTACAATAACATCTTACAAAAGCAATCAACGACAACAAAATGTCAAAAAATAAGGATTTTCTACAGCAGCAAAAACAAAAAAATACAACTGGGAGAGAGGAAAACAAAATTATAAGAGAGAAAATTAAAAATTTTAAGAGAAACTCGAACAACAACAACAACAATAATAATAACTGAAAATAATAACCAATCCAATAATAATAATTTGCTGCATCTTCACAAAAAAGGAAAATCATCATATATTTTTTTTTGAAAATAATAACAACAACAACTCAGAAAAAAAGCAAAATCCAAAAGTAAACTTTTTAAAAACACGATTAATAACAACTAAAAAGGGAATAACAAAACAAACTCTAGGACACAAACCGTCACAAAAAAAAAAGAAAACAATTTTAAAAACCAAGAAAATATTCAGCAAAACTTAAATGAAAAGGGAAAGCATTTATCACACTAGTAAACCGCCTCTCATATACATAAATCAACCGGGTAAAGGAAATAATGGAATCATCTAGAAAACTCCCTTTACTTCAGGATCATTTTAAAGCGCAGCATTTTATCATCATCTCATCACATCTCCCCCTCCCCCTCGAAGGAATACATCAAACGTTACTAGCAACAGAGAAAGCAACATTTCGGAGAATACAAAAACATAAATAAAAAATATATCACAAAATTGTTTTTTATGCAGTTTTTAGCATAAAATTATATAATTTTAAACGAAACTAACAGCAAAATAATATGAATATATGAACTCAACAAAACGACAAAATTACTATATTTTAAAGAAAAAAACATACATACATACAATAACAACAACTGATGCTTCAATATACTAAACAACAACAACCATAAAAAGTAACTAATTCTGAAAAAAAAAACGACGAAAGAAAAACATTTTGCAAAAACCCACAACAAAACAAAATCGAAACATATAAACGAATTTCTTTTGTATTAGCCATTATTAATACAAAAGGAACATATTTTGCAAAATTGTGTTTTCTTTCGCAAAAAGAAATTGTTGTAATGACTCTAAATTGCAATTGCTTTCTAAATTCCCCAAAACAAATCGCCTTTTCTTTCATTTTGTTGAATTATTTGTGGCCTTTCTAAAATTTTTGGTGTTTTTTTTTAGATTTTCAAAAAAAAAATAATTACACATGTTTGGTTTTTAACAACAATATATGATTTTCTCTTAAATAAAAACAAAAAGACACCAAATCCATCATTAAAACTCATTACAACATTAAAAAAAGAACATAACATTACATAATTCACTCATCTCACATATGCATTATATTCATTTTTAATTAAAAGAAAATATATTACATTATATTTTGCTTGTATTTTGAATATGTTTTTAACAAATCAACCCATCATAAACTTTTGTCCCATTACTTATACTACATATATTTTTATTATATTTCTTTAATATATATACTATATTATTATAATAATAATGATAATCATTTAATCTTAATTATTACTTTTTTACATGAAAAAAATTTTGTAATGGATTTCTTCATTTAAGTTAATTTGTAATTGTCCCCGCAAAAAATTGTCGTCGTATTTGCTCATACATACAAAAAATATGTACTTTTTTCCAAATTTCAGTTCTGTTTCCCTCTTTTTGTTTGCTATAACAAAATTTGTACGAATAACGTAACGTAAATTTTGTCATTAGTTTTTTGAAAACTACTAAAATTTAAAAATTGAAATGTTAGGAACAATAATAATTATATATCCATACATATACCATATACCACCCCCACTTATCATCATAAATACACACCCCCTCTAAAAAAATGGAAGAAAAATTCAAACACACTCAATTGTAAAAATTTAAGCAGTAATTTAAAAACAAAATAAAAGTTTAATAAACAAAAATTTTCTTATATAAAAAATAAAAATTATTTGTTTTATTCAATATTTAAAAGGACTGGAAAAAGTAAGTATAATTTATATAATTTTTCTGTGTTTTGAAGATCAAAGCCAAGCCGAAAATATATAATAAATAATATTTCAATCGATATAATTCATAAAAACGCCAAATTGACAACACTTTTTGGCCATTTCTCAAATCGTAAATACAAAAAACCATTAAATTGACAACACTATTCATTTTTAATTAAAATTTGTTCAAGCTTGTATTCTTCTTTATATAAACGTTATATTAGAAAGATGGAGTAATATTCCTTAAAAAACACTAACTTGACATTATTCGCGTTTAATAAAAAACGCTAAATTGACAACAATGTTTGATAGAGTTTCAGTTCAGTTCAAAATTCAACCGTATTACCATGCCAACAGAAATGCGAAGAATATTCCTTAAAAAGCGCTAACTTGACATTATTCGCGTTTAATAAAAAACGCTAAATTGACAACACTGTTCAAGTGAGTTTCGGTTCAATTCAAAATTCAACCGAATTACCAGGCAAACAGAAATGCGAAGTAGGTGTATTTTACCCACTGAACCTCAAAACCCAAAGCATACTTTCAGGCGCTAAAATATGTCATGACGCCACATGGTGCGTTTTTACACTCTACACACTTTTGCAAAGCATACGCTCACGGCGTATTTTACGAATGTCAGCGTTTGTATTAAGCTTTTATAAAACGATGTAATTTTATTATAGAAAATATTTGTTTTTGTAACAAAATACATAATTATGTGTACATAAATGTTATTAATAAATAAATATTTATATAATATTCTTTTTAAATTTTATTACTATCATCTTGAACACCATTGACACTAGTTGTAGCCTCTTTAGTTTTTGGTTCTGGGGCAATTGGAGATTCCAATTCTATGGTCACTGGGCCATCGTTTTGTATATGAACCTGCATATAAGCTCCAAATTTTCCATCTAAAAATGAAAAAAAGATTAGTTTTAAAAATTTATATATTTTTTATAGATTCTAATTTATTCTACCAAGGTACTAAATAATGGAAGGAAAGAGGTTTAAAACTGCTGGGAATTTTCAGTAATTATTATGAAAATGGGTCATTTGGAATGTATGTTGCAGGTACTACTTGGACTTTTTTAATTTCAGTTCTTTGTATATATATCGACAGTATGTTATTATCTAATAATAATAACTATATGTAGATGAATCTATGGTTATGGCATGGAGGCCGATTGGCTTTACTTTACTTTTTCACAAACATTGCTTTACAGCCTGTTTTTGTAAAATTCCAAAGGAACGAATTCGAGTGACTTACGACCAAACATTTATTTATGTTTATAAAGGTTTTCCGATTCAAAACAAAAATAAATTTTTCAAAACCAAGGAGTTTGGTCGTAAGTCACTAGAATTCGTTCGTTTGGAATTTTACAAAAACAGGCTGTTAATTAACTTCGATTTTTAGATTTTAAAAAACATACAATTATTTAAAAAATGCATTTTGAGCTCTTTAAGGATGCAGATCTTCTTGCATTAGGCATTTAGATAATGATCAATAACACATAAACAACTGAAATAATATTTTGCTGTTACCCTCAAGTATATGTCAAGCTTTCTGATTACAAGTTCCATACCAACTAAGCTGAAAAATATGTCCAAGACTATGTAAGAAATTGAATACACTGTATAAAGAAAGCCATTGGAACTCGAATATCATAATAATTCTTTTTCCAAATGATTTCCCATCTTTCTCAATTTATTTTAATTCTAATGGTTTCCTATATTGAAATCTTCTATATATTTTAAATTACAAAGTAGTGAAAAGTTTAACGAAATTCTACTTACCCTTTATTTTTGTGGCATCATATGACTTGCCCAAACGTTCCAGAAACGTTTGATATAATTGCTGAGCTTTGTCGCCTTGCATGGCCAAATGGAAATCTGGCTTATTTCCCTTCAGTCGATGGTACAGGGTAAATTGTGAAACACACAATATTTCCAATTTTTCATCTTGTACACTTTTTTGCCAGCGTTTTCCAGCGGTATCTTCAAATAAACGTAATGCGAGTAATTTGCGAGTTCTACGAAAAATGGGAATGGTATTTAGTAGAGTAAAATTTAGACAAAATTTTTATAAGACTTACAGATATTCCACATCCTTTTCCGTATCAGAGTGTGTGATGCCAACCAATACACAGAGGCCTCTTCCAATTGAACTAATTAACTCTTCGTTTACTGCAAATTCGTGGGAGCACTTTAAAATTTACTATTAATTTCTTTAATAATATACAATCATATGGAAGAAATCTATTTTACAAGACCGGAGAATTGTGGTGATTCTATGAAAATAAAAAGACCATATCTTTGGACATCACACTAAATTTAAAGGCCAGAATTTTCTTGGGGAATACATTTTTTCATATCATTCTGGAAAACTCTGTTTTAGTAAGAACGATCGGATTCTTCCGAAGGTAGATTTATTATCTCGAAAAACATATTATATAAAGCTTCTGAAAAATCTATTGATGGTAACTCATACCATTCCAGATATATAGCTAGAAAACCTGTTTGGAAACTACAATTTTTAAATGGTCTACAACAAGTTCTAATTAATACGGGTGAACTTGTAGATGGTACGTTGGCCATTTCATTTCTTAAGTTCAGGTCGAAATTGGGGTAGGAGAACAAAACAAATTTTTGATATAATATTTTTTATTAATATTCGGACTACGGTTGAAGTGATTTCTTTATGGGCTTGGGGTCCCGATTACAACTGTATACTTTTTTCTTGCGGAAATCAGTATTTCCTGGAATATGTGCTTCTTAAGTTCCCTTTGGCCCTTTGTGTTCTCTTATGGTTTTCGAAATTTAAAGCGTTTGAAGTCATGATTACACAAACGCTATTCACATTAAGAGAAGATTCGATCACGTAGCCGTAGTTCCTAGTCCACCACAAACATCCATATTGTTTTTTTCAAAATTGTAAGTGTCCCGCGGAATTTTGGAGACCCATATCTAAGAAATTATGAATTTATTTGATAAAAATAGCATATTTGAAAAACGGATTCCGTTGCAATCAGGGTTCCAACGATTATATGTGGTAGGAATTTCAAAACGATCCGCGTTATCCATATAGTTCCTCAATAGGTATAACAGAGATTATGGAACTGACAAAATTACAATAATTTTTGGAATCGATTTTCTGTCTGCTGCACTATTCCCACAGAATCGCTTTCGTATGAGCATGTTTGGTTTTGTCACACAAAGTAAGTCGGAACCACCTCTATACCGGTCCGGTCAATTAAAATAGATACGCTGTGCCTAACTTACCTGTAACTTTGGCTGATGTTACACGCTGAACAATTGCTTTCATTTTTACTATATTTCTTAAACAATTTAATTTAAAAATTATGAAATATTTTTACAAATTCTTCAAATTTGTGTGTTGCGTTGTGTCAACCAGATGAACCTACTTATACAGTTGTACAGTTTTTACGAAGGAACTAGTTCAAAAGGGCGATTCACTTAAAGGAACGTTTGAACTAGGTCTTATAAAGAAACGTTGCCAACCTTTTATGTTGCTGGCATCTTATGTTGGCAAACTACACAGTTATAATTTTCCAGTTTTTTGTGGATTAAAGCCTGTATTTTTTTAAAGTTTTAATATGTCTAAATGTCTGCGGGCTTTGAAATTATTATTAATAAATAAATATAAAAAAACATAGTTATATTTGGATGCATTTTAAAGAAAATGGATCGGCTAGGGCGACATTTAATTATTGCCAAGCATCACTGGGGGATCGACATATGAGGACAGAACACCCTCTTTGATGATGGAAAGGCAAGGAACACCCATGCAAATACAGATTTCTCAAAATTTATTATAACTTGTGGATGAGTGGTACATTTTTAAAGAAGCAGCTGCTAATTTTTGGTATTATCGTGGGGTATCGACCGAAAAGAATGCAAAAAAAAAAATATTTTTTTATAGTTTCCACATAAACATGTCCTTTTTAGAACAAATTTTTACTTTTCAGTAAAAAAAAAACATCCATCAAAAATTAGTCAATATCTTCATTGCTAAAAATAGAAAATGGACTATGTTATTATTGAACGCAAATGCAATTCAAAATTTCAGTAGTAGTTTTGTATTATGTTTTATTGTAATACATTCTTTTCTGAAATTATCAGTAAACAACTGTTGTTATCTACTATTAAAATTGGCATGAACATCTACTGGAATTTAGCAATAAATAGAACGTTATCATTAACCCCCCAAGTGGTTGGTTTTACGGCTGCTATTATCATAAAATAAAAAAATAATAATCTTCTTGATAAATCGACAACAAATGCAAATTGTTTTTCGTTCTTATATTATCGCAAGATTAAACAGCAAAAAGGTTCGATCGATTATAGCCAAAAATATCACTATATATTATATTTATATATACATATGTACAAAAACAAATTTTTTCAATAGAAAAAATTGAATGCAAATCCAGTCTTAAGCTGCAACAATATTTTGTTTGCAATCTGGTGGAATGCCATCGAAAGGACCGCCACCTTCGCCACCGCCACCAGACACAATGCCGCCAATTATTTTCAAGAGATCGGTAAGGGAGTATGCGCCCATAATGCCATTAATTTTCTGTAATACAAAAAAGAAAACATTCAAATAAAAATCTGTATGTTTGTTTAGCTATTGTTACTTACATTTTCAACAAATTTTACAGCACCCATATCTTGAGCTTCCACCCAGACATCGTTTAATAACTCAATTCCCAATTCATTGATTACGGCATGCAAAAAGTCATTGATTCTTGGCTCTTCAATGATATCTTCAATATTTACCCACAGACCACCAAGGCTAATCTGAAATATAGAAAAAAAAACATTGTAGTTATAAAAAAATATTGAAATTAGTATTTCGTAATGTGTTCGTACATACTTCAATGGTTAAACTGCGAATACCAACACTGCTGAGACCAATGCTGAAAATCCAGGAAATTGCTACTCTACCATCCTGAATATAACCCCTAGAATTGGATAAACGAAAATAAAAATAATAAAGAATGTCGTTGTGTATTACAACGATGAACTTACTCAGCTTCACCATCACCATTCATATTAACAACACGAGCAATGGAGCCCTTTGCGGTGTACAATGTTTTCAATACCGCTTTGGGTAATACAATTTCTATATTTGAACGACGCAATGGTGTGGTTGTAATTTTTAGAGATGTCACCTCAAAATCAGACAAGCCTGTTAATTCTAAATCTGTTACAGAACCCGTGAAACTGAAATCGAATAAATCAAACAATAATAACCAACAGTATTCAAAATTATGCAATAATAAATACTTACTCGACAATATATTTATTATCCATTTCGGCTTCAACATGACCAATTCGTAGCGGATCCAAGGCGGGTAATCCAAATTTAGGTATGGGATGGCACATACGCATTTTTAGCTCATCCAAAAACTCTAAAATGGCATCCTCCATTAGGCCATGTGCGGAGGGGATTGTTGTCGAAACAATGGCTAATATAGCCACTAACGTAAACACACTGGACTTCATGTTGCAGTATTTTGAAAAAAGGACCTTATTTGAATATTAAAATTGCAAATTTCCTTAACCGAAACCAAACCAGTGGACTGTTAATCCCTAACTAAAGGCGTAACGTTAAATGTTTACCTTTTTGTTAAATTGTCGTAATCTATAGATATGCATGTTGATTTTATTTCGGGTAGATTAAAATACAAAAAATGCCTTGTATTATCAAAATAACAACAACAAAAATTGGACTAACAATGTTGTTAGTATTTTCTTTTTTGCGAAAACTAAAGCAACTGAAAACGTGTTGTCTTTACATTCCTTTTAACCTTGTTTGACTGTAAATGGTTATAATTTGTTATCAACCGGTAGCTATATTTCTATAGCTTACAATAAATTAACTTTGTTTTTATTTTTATTTTAACAAAACTTTGTTTATTTGCTTACTTTGTTTTTTCTTTCTTTACATACTAATATGAACTAATCGAAACAATATTTAACTTTCACTGGGAATATCCCGTAGATGCTCGGGTATTTCTTGTATTTCGGTCTTTGTAGCATTTAGTGCAACACCTTCAGGCAAATTACGTTCAATATACTCTAAGAAGGTATCCAATGTTGATCCGGTTAGTTTGTGGAAATTCATATAACGGAAATATGTACGAATTTCATATTGAACACGATGTTTTTTATAAATATGTACCGATTTCAATAATGTCATACGTTCCTTGTGGGCTTTTCGTGGTGACCAGCTGAAAAGGGTATAAGAAAAGTACATTTAAATTAAACAAATAATAATCAAATTGAATAAAAATGACTAAGTAATTAATTGGCCTTGAATCCTTTAAACAGACTTAGGAGCGATTAATTTATTATTTTTTTTTAATTGTCTTTATTTACTTTGTAATTGAAGCCGCCAAATTACAATTTAATGGCCAATTTATATATTATTACAAAGAATCCACTTTACATCATAGCTACTCTAAAACAAATTCTTATAAATATAATATAATAAATATTTTAAACATGTTTAAATCTGCATTATATCATGACTACTCAAATATATCCACTTTTTAAACAAGTTATTATAAATAAATGATGTTAACGCTAATAAAACATTATGAATATAATTATTCAGATGCATTTTAAAAACTTCGTGACATCATGGCTACTCAAATTAACATTAGATTAGCATTTGTAAAATAATTTGTTCCGGTTGGGCCAAAGAAGGCCCCTATTTTTTTGGTAATGATGTGTTAATATTTGGGGGATCAAAAGTCAAAGTCGACTTTTAAATATTAAGGAAATCGAAATGTGGACTTTTGAAGATCGATTTTCGGTTTTCTTCACAATGCCCAGATTGCCCAAAAATTACAAATCGTCAGCTAAAATGCAAAAAGGCGTAACTAACAAAAAATTTAAAATTGACTTTTTGAATGAATATTGTGAATGTCAATAAACTACATGTGTTGAAAAAGTTTTACACGTCTGCGGTCAAAAAAGGAGCTTCTATTAACAAAAAACAAAAAGACGTAACTACAAGTGGGTTTATTTGATAAATGCAAAAAAGCGTAACTAACAAAAAATTCAAATTTTTACTTAATTGTTATGACTGCCATTAACTAAATAACTAAATTTGTTGAAAAAATTATAGTCTATTATTTGTCATATGCAATATCACCCTTTCATTTCACATGACATGTTTATAGTTTTCATTCAAAACAGTTTTTTGCTTCCCCTACACAATTATGCTTTTGTTAGTTACGCCTTTTTGCATTTTAGCTAACGAAATTTTAGTCGATTTTGCATTAGTCGTAAAAAGTCGAAAATCGATTTTGAATTGGTTTGGCAAAATCTAATGATCGAAAAATCGACGTTTTATGCCATGTTCTGACGAGCATTCGAACAACGTAGTTCGCTCTCAGAATTACCTACATGAATTAACCCGTTCATACAACACTATTCTTAATTCATGTCATCAGAATTTTCTTTTTAAAATTTGTTGTTTCTCCTTTTACACCGAAATCTCAACATATTTGTGTATATTGCCTATGGATTTAAATAGAAAAAAATATTCTCTTTCTCCTGAATATAGTCAGAACCCATAGCCATTTACTTTTCATTCATGTTTTCCATTTTTTCTGAAAACTTTGTTGTTTTTAACACATTTTTATATTTTCTCAATTCAAATGTCACATACTGTCACATATACAAATTTGGAGAATTTTTTGTTAGTTTCCCCATATTTGTTTCTTGTTTTGTACGCTAATTAGACAAGGGAAAGGAAATGCATATTGCATTATGTAGAAAACAAAATTTACATCCTGCTGCATATATAAAATCTATACAATTTTTTACTTTTCATTCATCATTTTCAATTTTATTAAAAAAGTTCGAAAATTTTATAAATATTTTCAAGCTGTCAAAATTAATTTATTTTCGATAAATGCTCTCAATTGTTAGGGATGGGACAAATTTCTTGGTTATTCAGAGAGTGATTCGAATTGAACTACGTACAAAAATCGGTGTTCGCTCAGAAAAAATTGTATGGGGAACTAAGTAATTACTTCATAATTAAGGGTCGAACAACGAATGAGAGAGCGAACAACGCTCGTCTGTACATGGCATTAGTCAGAAGCAAAAATCGAAAAGTCCAAGTAGATATATAAGGTAGTCTCATCGGCGAATTTCTACAACAAACATCGATTGTTGCATTTTGATATGTCAAAAATATTTTGACAAAACAAACTGACTGAGAAGATTTTTTGTACACAAATTCTTGTAAAAAATTTTAATAAAAGTTTTGCCAAACAAACTCTGCAAAATTCGGAAATTTTCATTTATAATTTAGTTTTTTAATTTTTTGGTTCATTTGGCCGATGCGGCTACCTTATTAAATATACCTTGGAAAAGTCTAAAAGTCGAGTTTTACTTTCAACTTCTTATCCCTAGTCCAGTTATGACCCAAACGTCTCTAAATTTTGCACGGAGAAAGTTATCTAACCAGAAAAAGTATTGATGTTATCATGATAATCGGTGAAAATTTAGCGAGTCAAATAACCTAAACTTTTGCATTATATGGCGTATATTTTAACTTCTGAGAAAAATAAAAAAGAAAAAAGAAAAAAAGATATCAAATCTATTGATGCAAGAGGGCTTTACAAGTGTTATGGGTTTTTATCGTTACCATAAAAAGGAAGTAAATATGTCGAAATGAAGCCCATATCAATCATATGGTTGGCACCGTCCGACTATACTGTTCCGCTCACTGCTCTAAATGCATAAAGCGAAAAATCGATTTAATAAAATAATTTAAAAAAAAAATCGATTTAACAGAGCAAGGGTTTATGAAATACTATATACGAATACTTAAAACGCCCTCATTCTAGACTTTATCATCAAATACTCTCATTTTTGTAGTCTATATAAGTACTAAAAAAGTTCCCTCTGGTTCTCCACAATTAATTTCTATTCTAATAATAATAAAAAAAAACTAATTTCAGACTCTCCAAAAAACCTCCACTTGATAGACTAAAGTCTGTAAATGCCTTTTTCTTGTACTCAATAAACATTTTCTAATAAAAAACGTTAACAAAATTTCTACTGTCTTCAGTAATCATTCTAGTAGTTAGTCGTTAAATACCCCTTCCATCCTAAAAAGGCCCAAAAATTAACTATTCTCGTCTTGTTCGATTTTCTCCTGGTACTTTAGACGACGATAAATATGAGTATTGTTTAATGGTCTCTAGGAATTTCGTTCTTTCATCCAGTAACGCATTTGCATTCCTACTATAAATTGTATAAAAAAACCATTCAATATGCTCCTACATTGTAAAATTTTTCACTCACCATTTTCCCACTTCAATGTCCAAATGATTAGCTGCAGTGGTAGCAAACCAGGAATAACTTTTCAGTACGGCGGGATCAATACCTCTCAATTCAATTTCTAATTTACTATAAAGTTTATCCCTTTCCTCGGCTAAAGTAGGAGGCAATGGGGTAGTAGCAACATCTTGGCTTGTGGTGGTTGCCGCTGTTGATGCCTCTGTTGCAAGACAACGTATGCCAGCTGCGGGAACACGGGAATATAAAAGGTTTCTTACAATCTGCAAAGTAAGTTATAATTTATTTAAAATATTTTTTTATAAAAGATTTTTTTCTGTAATTACAAACCGAAATCATTTTTCTCGTTCGTTCTCAGAGTATAATGAGAGGTTATGCAAGTTGCCGTTTGACACAATAACAAATAACAGCTGATGGCGATAACACCGATAATTGCACAGTGTTACACGGAATGCACAAAAACTTAATATTTAATTAATAAAAAAAGAAGAACATTCTTCACACTTCTTTATTAAATATATAAAGCATTATTATTTATATATTTTTAATTTTTAATAATTCCTGTATTATAGAAAATCGTAGAAATCATAAAACCGGCACACCAATTTTAATCGAAACTTATAGGCGATTGTGTTATCGTTGCTGCAGTGGTTATTTTTGACAGGAGAATGGACATGTTTTGTTTACTGCCAATCGGACAGAACGACCGTCAGTCATACACGTGCATTTAAATTGTTTATTAATTTATTAAAGTAGAGCGAATTAAAACATAATACAATGGAGCATGAAGGTAAATATCTTGTATATACAAATAAATATATATAAAAAATTTATTATTTTTTTTCACAGATATCCCATCTCTAGAACCAGAGGAGGCCGTTAAGAATGGAGCAATTCAAGATGATTCAGATTTTACCGATGATGATTCGGATGAAGAGTTAATGGACGATGGAGAACCAACCACATGTCTATTTTGTAGCGAAGTTCTAAAGACAATTGATTTGGCTTTGGAACATATCAAAGTGCAACATAACATTAATTTTAGTCAAATGAAGACGAAATTTAATATGGATCAGTATTCATTTATAAAATTAATAAATTATATACGTCAGGAAGAGGGTGTCACAGCGGACAAATTGAATTCTACCACAGAAGCCTTTTGGAATGATGAAAAATATCTGAAGCCCAAAGATTATGAACCATGGCTGACATATGGTAAACAGTTTCTAAATATTTCATGGCAAAAAATAACGAAATTCCTTCAAACACTATAACAGATTACGAAGCGTTACTCTCAGAGGGAGACACATCATGTACAAAAGAACCAGATTTAAAATCTTTGCAAGAACTAATTAAAGCCCAACAAGCCCAACTAGAACAGGCGTCCAAGGATATGGCGACAATGCGTCAAGGCTTTCAACGTCTTTTAGAAAAGGATAATAGCACCAAGGACCCAAATGTACGATGTGTTTCCTCGGTATCAGTTAAAGCCGATGAGGGTTATTTTGATAGTTATGCTCACTTTGGTATACATCATGAAATGCTTTCAGTAAGTGGAGACCTAAATTTCACGTGTTGGCAATATTCAAACAATTTATTCCACAGGATACAGTAAGAACAACAAGTTATCGTGATGCTCTTTTAAAAAATAAGGATTTTGTCAAAGGAAAACTTGTGCTTGATGTTGGCTGTGGTACTTCGGTCTTATCCATATTTGCCTCACAAGCTGGTGCTGAGAAGGTTGTTGGTATCGACAATTCCAACATCATCTATAATGCCATGGATATTGTTAAGTATGTTTTTTTACTCTCCTTGCGAAATGTTCGTAGTAACAACGAAAACCATTAATTTTCAGGAAAAATAACATAGAAAATGTCACCTTGGTTAAGGGCAGACTGGAAGATACGAATTTGCCAATTGAGAAATTCGACATTATTATTTCCGAATGGATGGGATATTTCCTCCTGTTTGAAGGTATGCTAGACAGTGTTATCTATGCCAGAGATCATCACCTGAAAGAAAATGGCATACTTTTGCCCAATCGCTGCACAATGTCAATTGTGGGCTATGGCAACGATGCTTTGTTTAAACAGCATGTCACCTTTTGGAACGATGTCTATGGTCTGGACATGTCCACAATGAGAAAAGAGGTTATGCATGAACCCCTTATAGATGTTGTCGACCCCAAGCATATTTTAACTGAACCGAACTGTATTGCCGATTTGAATTTAATGACAGTTAATTTAAATTATTCTAATTTTAAGTATAACTTTGAATTGAAATGCCTCAAAGATGGTAACATATCATCGTTGGTTGGTTATTTTGATAACTACTTTGAACTACCAGAACATGTAATGTTTAGCACTTCGCCTGATTCGACACCAACACATTGGAAGCAGGTGGTGTTCTTTATTGAACAGCCACAAGCGGTTAAGGAGGGAGATGTTATACGAGGTACCATACAATGCAAACGTAGCATGAAGAGTGCCAGATCACTGGACATTAGTATAGACATATTTGATAAAAAATATACATATTATTTGGATTAAGTTTAATAAAAAATCGTATGTATATGCATACATATTTAAATGAAACGTTTCTTACTCATTTCTACATCATATACAATAAAAATAATTTTATTTTTAAAGATTAAAATAATTTATTGTGTGTAAATTTGCCGCTGCATAGACATTTCAATACAAAAAATACTCTACAAATGGGAGTTTCTAACCACATATTCTGTTGACAGGAGCAATTTTCAAAATAGCTCATCTTCCTTCGGCACATAGTTAAACAGCTCCACCTTCTAATTCCGAAGCTGGTATTTCCGGCTCTTCATCATTGTAAACATTTTCAGCCATTTGCCATACTTGCATAATATTATCTTCCGAAACCGAACATATAATCCATGGCTCATTGGGATTCCATGAGAAATCGGATATTTTCGCTGTATGACCACCGTGAATGAATAAAAGTTCTGGTGGCCCATCTTCGGCATCTTCAGCGCTTTGTTCTTCGCCAATCTTGGATAGATCCCAAACATGAAGTCGGCGATCAGTTCCAGACGATGCCAAAATAGTTTCGTTATGGGGTGACCATTGTACTTGGAAAATTTCATCTTTATGAGATTCAAAGGAATGTAATTTCAATTTCAAATTGCGGAGATCCCATAAAGCAACAGTTTTATCTGCCGATCCAGTCGCCAATATAAATTCGGAATATGGATTGAAACTAAGACAGTTCACTTCAGCGGTATGAGCATCCACGGTGTGCGATGGCTTTGACGTGTTGTTGTTACGTGTATCCCAAATCATTAGTTTTTGGTCGTCAGCCACAGAACCGAACAAGGATTCATGCAGCAAATGCCATGCAACATCTTCAACGACAGCAGTATGACCAGTAAATATATTTTTGGCATCAATGACACGATGTTCTTTCGGCGTTGCATTAATATCCCACAAGCAAATAGTATGATCATCAGACGCCGATAAAAGGTAACCATTCAAGTTGGGATTCCAGGACAAACCATAGCCTTCTTTCTGATGTCCTCTCAAACGCAAATCAGGCTGGCATTCGCCCGAGGGTTCCGGCTTACTGGGATGTTTAGTGTAATCGAACACCAAAACATCACTTGACGGTGTTTTTGTGGCAATGACACAGGCGTTTTGCGGCATATATCGAGCTCGGTTTACTTCGCCTTCATGGTTGATTTTAATTTCAATTTCTATTTTGCCACACACCGAACCAAAGCCACCAAATTCACCCTTTTCATTGTCATAATGCGAACCATCGAACTGAGCATCTTCACTGGGCAGCTGAACACTAGCTATTAACAAATGATTTTGTTCGTCCGAGGTATGCGTACCCAATATCAGACGATGAACGGAATAATCTTTTCCCTCCTGTTTGGTCACATCGGGCAACCATTGGGCCGTTAATGAGGGCCACTCTAGAGCGTGGGTCATTACCAAATCATAAAGGAATGGGGTGTTCTTTTTCCATATCTTATATTCTTCGTTGATGACGCGCTCTTCAACAGCATCGTCAAAAGATTCCGCTATTTTGTTTCAATAGAGGCAGGTGTGAATACTTTTAATATTTTTCAACAAATTAAAATACAAATTTAAATAAATTTTCAACTTACCATTGTCACTACGATCCACCATTATTCCGGCGTTGGTTTAAAACGACAAATAGCTGCAGCAATAATTTATTTTTTATATTTACAGGATGGTGAAGCCAAACTGAGCAAAGCAACAATGGCTCCCGCCAAAACAATAGTGTCGTCGTCGTTGATACAAGCTTCGCAATTGTATACACAGACAATCACAGCGACAACAGCAACAAAACCGAAAAAATAACTCTCAACTATCGTAAAAAGTACAACATAAAAAATTCCGAAAATCAGTTAATTCTATTTAAAAATGTATAAACAATTTCCAACAAAAAACAGTATATTTTAAATGTTCTTAATATTTGCTCAACAGTTTAATATGTGGTGCAATTTCTTTCTAGTACCGGAAAAAATGTGCAAATAAATTGCGAGTCTCACAATAGGGATAGGTAAATCGACTTTCGACTAATCGACTTTTTAGGGGGTTACTCTGTGATGCGATGCGTAAGAAAATTTGTACCGGGTCGAGTAATTCGTACTCTCTAATTCGTTTTCGTACCTCCTTTCGCATCTACTTTACACAAATGTGGCATCACCGCACTCTGTAATACGAAAACTTATATCAAACTCGATCGTTAAGCGCAAATATCTTGCGTTAACAAAAGATTTTATTTATATCTAAATTGTTAATTATATTAGGGAAACGCCAAAAAAGGGACAGACTCAGCAGATAGATGTGCTGATCTCGTTTCGGAGGCTAAAAGGCTAAGCAGAATGTCCGCGTTGAGCGTTTTTTGTTATCGCGTTAACACATGCAAAAAATTAAAATATATTTGACTCCAAAGCGCAGCACATCAATTTCTAACGTTGGTGATATAGTTTATTTTTGGATGTTGCATTTTTGATAACCCATAACGCAACGGATGGCTCAACGCGAACATTCCGCTTAGACCTTAAAGGCTGCCGTTGTCTGGTTGCTCCCTTAATATCTAGATTTGCTCAAAGTCCTGCGCTAAAACTCCTTGTACATTAGAACTTTTTAAAGGGTTAACCTATTTTATGAGGATTTGTTTGACATATATGCAAAGGAATTGACAATTGAAACCCACTGTGTTAACGAAATCCGGTTAAATGTAAACGGACTATAAATCGAAATAATTTCAAATACAACCCTGTTTTTGTAACCAAAGTGTTAATGATTTGAAAATTTTATACTTTGTATTTAAATGACGTTCACATTCAAATTTTTACCGGTCAGTACAAAACTGAAGAAGAAAAGTAGCAATTAAAAAAAAAAACTCACATTAGTGATTATGTTCCCTCTCATAAAGACTTTAACGACAACAGAGTAGATTTTCCTATTAGGGAATACTGGACTAGTGGCTCCTTACCTCTGCCATATCTGACATTTTTCACAGACGGGTCAAAGGTGGAGGAAGGCACTTTTGTAGGCGTTTACTGTAGGGAATTAGAAATCTACAACTCATATAAACTTTACAATCTTTGTAGCGTTTTTCAAGCAGAAATCCTTGCAATCACGGAAGCTGCCGATTATACGGGACCGGTGACTATATATGTAGATAGTCAATCGGCCCTCAAAGCTTTAAAGTCGTACACTATAAACTCAAAAGCAGTTCTTGATTGCAAGGCTAATCTGCATGGTATACGACGAAATGGGACTCCAATGGAGAGGATTACTCCGTGACGAGGATGAAGAGAAGCTAGAAACAATTGAACATATTCTCTGTAGATGTCCATCGCTGAGTGGCAGAAAACACAAACAGTTTGAAAGATATGAAATTGATAATCTAGTTTTCTTCTCTAAAATAAACCCCAATCAGATCCTAGGCTTTGTCAAAAATCTGACATGGCTAAAATAACCATCTTCTAGGCTCTCCAACTCCAACTATTTTTCGGCTCTTCCATTCTTATTTTCAGGTATCAAGGATGATCACAATGGACAATTGTCTCTGAGTGAACGGTTGTAATTAACAACCATACATCCCCAACCTATGTCCCCATCATTGTATATTACCTAATTCCGCTTGTCATTTTTGCTACTCATAAAAAAGTAAATAAAAACACAACAACCTTTATATAACTAAATACTAACTTTATTTCTTTCGTTTTTAGTTTATAATTTTTTTCTTGTTTAAAAATAATTATATTTTATATCGAATAACAAAAAAAATAATAAAAATTTTAAAAAAATAATATATTCGTTTGCACAAATACACACGTATATAGTATACAACTACAGCTATAAATTATTATATAATATGCGAATATAATTTTTAATTTATTGAACCAATTTATCTATAAAATGCCTAACTCTAGGCAAATCATCAGAGATTTGTATAGGCAAATAATTCCAAAAAATTTTTTCTAAACTTAAAATTTTTGCGAAAAAAAAATATTGTGGAAATTTGTCCAAAAAATGTGGAGCTGGGGGGAAAAATTAAACACAAACGCAAATAAAAAAATATATATTTTTTACTAATTTTATAGGTATTTGATGTTATTTAGCAGGTTAAATAATACATTGACACATTTATGCTCCTAGTACTTTGTTAATGGATGCACATGAAACAAACGATTCCGTTTTTAACAACAATTACAATAAAATCGTGTTTGGATTCGGATTTTTTTCATTATCTTTATAATACACTGTTCGTGTGTGATTATGTTAACGTTAGGTCGTTATTTATATCATTTTTTTATCATGAGAGAGAATCTTTGTTATTGCTCTATATAAGATACACAAACACAACGCATTCCCCCTTGGATTTGGATAAATTCCAAAAAGTTTGTTATTTAAACATTGAATTGTACCTTTCATATCTTTTATATTGGCAGTAAGCAACAATATCTTCTTATTACAGGGTCCCGAGAAGAACCCCTCATTTGTATGCAGCCAAGAATTGTTTAGATTACACATTTTAATGTTTTTTCGACTCAATTTAATATATTACAATTTTTTTGAAATTATGATGAAAATTGAATTGTCCTCCCCATGGATTTTATTGTGTTTTGTTGGCATATCCATATACTATATATTGGTAGGATTCATCCAGGTTTTTTCAACAAATTTAGGCATATGAAAAAGCAAATCAATCATAAAAAAGCTGTAAACAATTTGTTTTGTATATTACTACACTTTTCAAATATTGGGCTTTCGTTATATATATAGATATATATATATATATATATATTTTTTTTTTTCAATTAATAATTATAACTCTTATTTGATTTGTGTAAATAATTTTCTGTAGTCATTATAATTATTCAAACAATAGTTTTTCTCTTTATTTATATTTGTTTAAGTTCTTCAGGGTTTTGTATTTTTTATTTATTTATAATATATAGTATTATTCTCATAATGATTCTTTATAATGTTTCTGTTTTAATATTGCCCTCAAGAATTGGGGGGGGCGTAAAAGGAAAGTAGTAGGCTGGGTAGAACTTGAATTGATTTTCTTTTAAATGATGGATGATGCTACTAGACGACATTGGGAAATAGTTGCGTATTATTTTTGTTTTCTTTTTCAAATAAATATGTTATATGGAATTTAACAAAATTTTGTAAAATTGTTTATAATTACAATACACGGATTGAGAAGTTTGTTGTGATATCCAATTGCATAATAATTTTGTTTAATATATTTTATTTCTAGGAGAAAGGGAGGAATATATACGTTTGTTTTAATAATTGCATTTTGAGTGATTCTTTTTAGAACGACGAAGATAATAAACAAAGGCCGTAACTGTAACAAAATAGTAGACAAAGGACCGATATAGTGATGAATGACATTTCGATTTAAAAATAATTCATTTTAGTCTTATGTCTAATTGATTGAATGGATTAAATTGAAATTAAAATGTGGAAGAGGATGCTAAATGAAATTGTCCTGATTTGTACCTGTTTTTTTTTTATTATCTTCGCAATGTCTCTTAGTGGTCTAAACATATTATAAATGTGTTGGATTTTTTGTTTCATTGTGGTAATACACTCTTGATCAATCAACTTTTAATGATCTTTTTTTTAAATGTGAAATTTTCATTTGTTTGTTTAAATAATTAGAGATCGTCTGCACAACTGAAACACGGAATACATTCATTTATTTCTTCATAATTTACAATGGTGCCTTTTTTTAAATAAAAAAACACAATTGGTTAATTAGTTTTACTCCATTCATTAGTTACCATCACGTAGATGCATCTGATCGTGTAAATAATGTTAATGTTCCATGAGAGCGGCTGAAATGAGAAGAAGAAAACATGTAATTTTTAATAAAAACTATTTTTATTAAAAGCATAGCTATAGTTCTAGGTGTAGGTATGGAATTAAGAAGAGAAGCCAACACATAAAAAAACATTTTTTTAATCCACGCCTTGGATGGATTCATAAAAAATATTTTTTTAAACAATCCACGCCTTGATTGGAATTATTAAAAAATATATACTTTTTAAACAATCCACGCCTTGATTGGAATTATTAAAAAATATTTAAAAAAAAAATCCACGCCTTGGTTGGAGGTATTAAAAAATATTTTTTTTTTAATTCCACGCCTTGGATGGATTAATAAAAAAATTCATAAAAAAAATAATAATAAATAAATAAACTTACGTGAAGGTGTGCGAACTGCTGCATTTTCATTTGGTGTGAAATTCAGAAAATCCCAAATCAATATTGTATCATCATGAGAGCTGCTGACAATTTGGAACTCATCAAATTGTAGGCGGAAAACACGACCAGTATGTTCCTAGAATGTAAAACAAAATTTGAAATAATTAAGATTTTCTTTTTTCCCATAATAGGAATGTTCGAAGACTAAACATACCACCAATGTATTTAAACATAACGAATTTGACTGAGCTCTAGGATCCAAAGCTGCAACTAAATCCCAAACTTTAATTTTGCCATCGTAAGCTCCGCTTACAATACGTTTTGAATCGAAACGTATGCAACGGACCAATTCTTCGTGACCCTCAAGCACGCGTAGGCAAGCACCGCATTCAATATCCCAGAGTCTATAAACAACAAAAAACAAATTTTAATAAGGATTTAACACTAGAGATATTTTTATATTATAAAATTAAAATATGGGAATTTGTAAGCAAATTTCGTTGTCTAAAACACCTCAAATACCAACCTGATAGAATTATCTGAACTACCACTGACAACTAAACGATCTCTGTATTGTAGACACGCAATACCACGTTTATGGCCATTCAATGTCCTAACAAATTCACAACTAGAAGTGGACCAAACCTTAATTGTACGATCACCACTTGCAGACACAATATATTTCTCATCAAAATCAACAACATTGACGGCGGCACGATGTCCGACCAAAACACGACGCAGTGTTATTTCGCTGGGCGAAGTCATATCCCAAACGGCAATTGAACGATCTTTAGAGCAGGTAACCATCATGCCATTATTGAAACGTAAATGTAGAACAGCTTCACAATGATGTATGAGGGTATTGACCATTTCACCGGTATTAACGTCCCAGACGCGTACCGTTGAATCTGACGAACCGCTAATAATGACTTTGTCATCATATTGTAGGCATAAAACGGAGCCTGTGTGTCCGGTAAGAGTCTGCAAAAAAGTACACATACATCATCAATAGACTCTCTATTCGAATGCAATTTCAATCAAACCTTAACACACTGCAAATCCGTACGGTCCCATATTTTAATAGTGTTATCACGAAGACCAGATACTATTTTAACATCATCGTATTGTAAGCAATAAACACCTTTTGAATTTTCCGAACGACAATTGATGCGACGTAACATATGACGGCCAGTTCTCCAATTGTTTTCAATACTTTCAATGTCCTAGCAAAATAACATAAAATTTAATAAACTTTATCGAAGACTTAAGTTTCTTTCGATTAAACTTACATTCATAATTTTAGGAAATAATGCCCGATAAAAGGAGTGTGGTCTATGTATAGTACCAGGACGTGGCTTGAATAGATACTGAATCCAACCACGACGTTCTGCCAATCCACGCCACAGCGAATCGGTGCGTACCTTACGTTCAATCAATTTCTTCCATAGCATACCCTCCGATATGACACGAAGCCATTCTTTGCATACCAATTCAGCAGCTTTCAAGGAATCCGCATCCAAATATGATAAAATATTTTCGCCAATGTGATCCAAACCCTTTTCTGTAAGAAAGGGAAACGTAAATTGAAAATATTAGAATTTGTTACATTTATTTACTGGACAAATCAAAATTAAATTAAATTTAGGTCCTTGGAAAAATATTTTTTTTTTAAATCCCCGCTCCCTATAAATCCAAGCCTTTTTGGGGTCCTTGAAATTTTTTTTATAAAATCCACGCCTTTTCAGGTCCATGAAAAAACAATCCACTCCTTGGAAAAATAATTTTTATAAAACCCACGCTTCTATACATTTTGGGAAAAATATTGGTTATTAAATCCACGCCTTTTAGTCCTTGGAAAAATAATACACACCTTTTAGGTTCTTGGAAAAATAATCCCAGCCTTTTTTGGGTCCTTGGAAAAATAAACCAAACCTTTTTAGGTCCTTGGAAATTTTGTTTATAAACCCCACGCCTATTTAGGTCCTTGGAAAAATAAAATATTTTTAGCTCCTTGGAAAAATAATCCACGCCTTTTTCGGTCCTTGGAAAAATAATTTTTATAAAACCCCCGCCTTTTTAGGTTCTCGAAAAAAAATAATTTTTATAAAATCCACGCCTTCTGTCTTCTATAGATATAGAATTGAATGCTTCAAGAAGTCTTTTTTTTTGTAATTGAAACCCTCAAAGAGTCTTCTTTGGAATAGAAGACCACAACTGATATTCTTTAGAATAGTAGAAAAGTCTTGCAAGGTCTTCTATAGAATAGATCTCATGTTAAATCTAGAATGTAAATTTTTTTGCTAAAATTATTTTTTTTGTAACTTAAAGATTGACATTACAAACAAATCAGAGACGTCGTCGTCATCATCTCCCTACCCTACCAAGCACATCCACACACACCTTTCACTAGACTACTGCTAGATTAATTACTGTAAATACGTGTGTACAATTTAAATCAATGAAAGAAAGGCCCATAACAATGAAATATAAATCAAATCACGTTTAACCCAATTTTAAAAAACAAACAATCCAACACACTAATCCAGAGATGACGTTGAGGAGACAGACTACTACGGCTGCGGTACGGTACGGTACGGAACGGTGGTGGTGTTGACATTTGTTTATTTGCATTGCATTTAATTTTTGTGTGATTTTTTTTTCTTTGTTGTTGTTGAGGTATGGAAATTCATTGGATATAGAGAAATGACACAGCATCTTAAAATTTGGTTAACTAATTTGTAGTGTGTACGTATGTATGCAGTATTCGGTTGTAAGATCAATACAAAAAGTTTATATTTGCAATAATTTGTAATTCCTTTGAAAGGAAAGGAATCAAAAACAACAACAACAGCAATAGTGACACACATTTAAAATAAACAAAAACAACAAATAAAATTGTCATACATATGTATGTATGTATGTCTTGTCTTACTTTTCTCCTCCTTCTCTTTTCAGTTACAAACTAATGGTTTATTCTTCTTTTTTTTTTGCATTTATTTTCTAAACTTATTGTAGATAATAAATTACCAACATCATCATCATTATCCCAAAATACAGAGAGACGAAATATATATATCTAAAACTGGTTTTCCACCAAAAACAAAAAATCATATTGCTTTCTTTTTCTTCATTGGTAGCGGCGCTTCCTTTCTTTAAATGAATGAAGACTAAAAGAATATAACATAATAAGATTTCTATTCATGGAGAAATGTATTTCAAAGGTTCGAACATAGTTCCAAACATAGAAGCTATCCAAAGCCCGAAAATATAATTTCTGGAATTAAATGTTGAACCAAGATCGCTCAGGTAAGTAGTACACGTTTTTTTTATAATATTGAAGGTTATTATTGTGAAGTTGTATCATTCATTTTTTCGGTATAATTGTCTTATTCATCATTCTCGTTCAGAGTCTTTATTATGGTTTTCTGAGCTTTTGATGTTATTAACGTTTTTATTTTTTGCTTTGTTTTAATATCTTGGAATGAGGAGGAGGAGGAGGAGCAGATTCAAAGGTCATTGCTTTCATTGCAAATACACACGGAAGAAGAATTATAAAAATAAAACGCGTACACTGACAATATGTGTGTCGCGAACAACTCTCGCAATAACTTCGAAAGTAACCAAAAAAAAGATTTATATATGAATTTGAAAACGGGAGAGGAGTTGGTACACAAGGTAGCTTAATTAGGGAATCTAAGGAAAGGAACAAAGTAGAATCCTACACCATCCAAATCCAAATCTGGCTCTGGTATGAACTAGGATTTTTAACATCGCACAAAAATTAACAAATTGGCAAGAAAATAAAGAAGATCTTGTACAGAATACCGTATTGAAATTTGGAATGGATTGAATTATTAGTTTTTGAGTTATTCGTAAAAACACGTTTGAAGTTTGAGAATCACTTCTGCCGTCGCTTGACGCTGACACAATAAATAGGCTATATCTTCCAGAGTTCTTGAAATTCTCACTTGAAATTTTAAATGGATTTCTTGAATTAGTGTAGTTTTGAATTAAATAACAAAACAAAATTAAATTTTTTTCTTTCACCGTAGACCTAATTCCGTAAGTTATACATTTTTTAGTGTCATTCGGACAGACAGTGCTTAAAACTAACAATGTATTAGTTTAATAATATCTTAACGTCTATTCAGTTGGAGGGGGTCGGGGCCCTTGTACTTCAACTACATTTAAGTCGTTTTACATATATACAAAGATCACATATTTAATGCAGCCCACTTTCATGTCAATGGGCCTTCAAAAATGTCAAATGTCTGATTGGATGCATCTCTTGATATTGATATCGGCCCCTCCGACTTTACTACTTTTTTACTATTTTTTTTTTTTAAAAAATAATTTTCTTTTGGATTTTAATCCACCATTCCATTCCTACTGGAATAGTTATATATACATTTTTTTGTAACACGTTTCTATATAATTTGCTCTTGTTTTTAAATTGGTAAAAAAAAAATTAGAAGTCCAATATCCCTCCCCCTTTTACATATAAGGCGCTTTATAATAATGAAATTTACATTTAATTGTGAATTGTAGTTTATAGCCTTAAGATCGAAATAAGTAAATATATTAAAATCTCCCTACCATAAATTATCTATATTGACTTAAGTTTCGTTGTAATATCAAATTTTCAATCGAATTTTTTTTATGTTACACTTCGTAATCTTGTTGTGTATCAAATCATCAAAATATCGATTTTAGGTATTTGGAACACCCATCTACAGAAGGAGGGTATGAAAAGTTCGGTCGGATGTTTTTACTTTTTAGGTTAACAATACACTGACTTCGAATTATATTTAAAAACTGACCCTATTCATAATGAAGTAAAAATTATAATGTTACTATTATTTGTTCTGCGTTATTACTTACTCGGCAATAGGGATATGAAATCTCTTTGTAACATAGGCTTTAGGAACGCATCAATGTGACCATGCTGATAATGACACATACGCGATAATAGTTGCTCAACAAAATCCACTTGATCAGTTTCGTTCCACTGTGAAAAATATGTTAAGCAGGTATCGCGTTCAACTTGAAATGTGGGTGAGGTTTCTTTCTTTCGTACGGGGTCATACAGCATCGTTGTAGTAAACTGCAAAAAAAGGAAATGAAAACGTATAAACCAAATTCAAAATGAGGAATAAATAATTTAATAGTACGCTTGATGAAAGGAATTTCGAATGACAATACCGTCGAAATTCTACATTATGTGAATTTAAAATGTTTAAAGATCTTGGAGTTGGGAAATGTGGAATTTATTGTGAAACTTTAGTGTATGCGAATTCCCATACCACACTTTTGAAAAAAAAGAGTTCAAATTTTCCAATTCCCAAATTTTTATAATGGATGTAAATATAAAGATGAACAGTACGGGAACAGACCAATTATCTATTTCATATATATTTCTTAACAAGGTGGGGCCCGAAATATAGGATTTTTATATAAAAAAATATAATTAAAATTTATGTTTTCTTATTTATGATAAAAATTGATTTTGTATTTATATATGCAGCATAATGTTCCATTTTGCAAATTTACAAACATAGACTTGCGTTAAAGTAATAGCGCACATTATATTTTTTAGAGACAACAAAGCGACGACAATTAGAGAGCATTGCTAACAATGTCAAGACATGTTACTGTGCTGTTGCTGCTGCCTAGACTTTATGATACGTCCGAAGGTAACGTACACAACAACAACTACTTAAATAATTATAAATAATAAACACAACAACAACGGTAAACCTAACACATATTTTGTTTGAAGCTTATAAACTGTGTGTGAGTCTGTCTGTCTGTTGGGTAATTGAAAACAATATAAATTATAAATGGTTTTTTTTTGGTGGTAGTTTTCAAAATTCCGAATTCAAATAGACAACATTAAGAAATGTTTACATTTGTAACCTTGACACTTGAAGCAAAAAAAAAAATGATATTTAAACTTGGATACGAAACAAAAAAACTAAATGTATTTAATGAAGGTAAGCTAGAAAACAGCAACAACAACAACATACAAATTTACAGTATATAGTTTCATTAAAAAATACGTTACCACCGCATTGCACTATAATATGATACTTTAGATATAAATTCAAGTTGATAAATTTCAATACAGAACAACAAATGTCTGAATCTGAATAAAATAGATCGTGAAAAGATGTTCTAATGTGGGAATAGTGTTTTTTTTAGTGCACTTCCACTTTGAACTCTGCCAAACGTGTCATTCGCATCCAAAGAGATTTAGTAACCCACTAGACACAAGAAATATTAAAATACAACATATTTAAAGAGAAACCTCTTCTAAAATTGCAATGTTGTCCAAATACCCAAAATTGAGGCTGCTTTTAAAACGGTGCTTTATATAGGCGTGGACCAATATTGAGCGGGATTGTTATATAGGGGGTATACCAAAATAGATTTTAGACAATTGTTTCCAATGCATATTTTGTAACCGACTGACCAAGAAAAATACAAACCTTTTGTAAAATTTCAACATGGTCAAAATACCCAAAATTGAGGCTGATGTTAAAAGGCGCTATATCTAGGCGAGAAGCCATATATTACAAATATTTTTAGAAGATTTTTTTAAAAAATTTTTAGAAGACCTAAAAATATAAGCATAGACGTGAATGTTTTAAAAATGATTTTTGGAAAACTCAACAATGGACGCGAGAAAAAAAAAAATGTTTTAAATTCTCAAAATACCGAATGGTGAAGCTACGGTTCTATGGGGCTATACGAAATCGGGGACCGATATTGATAATTTTTGGTAGTGAGACTTGACACCCAATTAGAATACAAAATAAACAAGTGAAAAAAGCGTTAAGTTCGGCCGGGCGGAACTTTGAATACCCTCCAACATACATGTACTGACAGATACTTGCAATGAAAATTTAGGGAACATACCAAAAAGTGGGCCTACACCGAAATTATCTAAACGTGGACTGGTACTGACAACGCACGGTACTATAATTTAGATTACAAAGTTATATGAGGCTATGCCTTAAGGGGGACCAATATTGACTACATAGTATAGGAATCAGCGAATATTTCGGGTTATCATTATGTAAATTTTCATAACCAGTATTTTGGTTTTGTATCTCAATTCTTTCCTTCAGGAGGTATAATTATATGAGAATGTGTAAATGATGACCGATGTATTTCATTATCGTCAGGTTCAAGTTTTTTTATCACGATGTTTTTAGAAAGCGGAATGATTACAAGCGATGGCTAAATCGCTATCGAATTCCATAATTTGTAGGGTAAAACTGACTATTTCGAGTAACGACTATCCTTTATACTATGCTATAATACGTCTATATGGGACAACCCCAACACACGGAACTAATCAGTTAACTATATTAATATCAAATATATAATAAATATAAATATATACTAGATTAAATATAAAAACTACCCCTAAAAAAGGCGAATATTATTAATTTTTGGTAGGAAGATTTTTTACCATATGCGACTTCAAAATATCAAATTACAGCGAAATCGGTTGAAAATCGCGCTCAAGAATCCCAAAAATACCGAAAACTTGGGGTACCTTAATGTGGGGGCTACCCGAGAAAATGCACCCATATTTATAAGTTTAGTGAAGAAATTTGGTACCCAATAAGAACCTTTATGTGGGGGCTTCCCGAGAAAATGCACCCATATAAGTTTTAGTGATGAATTTTGGTACCCAATTTCAGCGAATTCGGATAAAAAAAGAGCTTAAAACCCCCCAAAATACCGTAAAATGGGGGCTATCAGAAAAAGTGGTCTGATATTTTTAATTTTCGGAGGAGATACTAAATTTCAGCGAAATCGGTTGAAAAACGCGCTCAAGAACCCCAAAACCCCATGTCAATTGGGGGTACCCTTATATAGGGGCTACCAGAAAAAGTGGACAGTCGACCGTAAGAGCTCAATGTATCAAATTTCAGAAAATTCGGTTGGAAAACGTGTCCAAAATTAACTTGAAACCTGGAACTTGTTATACAATGAGAAACCAAAATAACTCATATCAGACAGTTCGGTTGGAGAATGTGTCCAAAATCTCTAAAATACGTAAAATGGGGGCACCGTTTTATGCAAGCTACAACAAAACGTGGACTAACGTTTTGTAATGCCAAATATACTTGAAGTACTGGTGATGTCTGCGCAAAAAATGCAGGGAAATATTTACCTTATAGTGGAGGGAATAAAAATTTCCGAAAAATTTATTGGCATAAAGAATAGGATTCGAATACTTTTTCTTTGACATCGTAAACATGTTTTTTTCTTGTTGTTATGTCAAAAATTCTAACACTTGTCTCTGAATTAAATCTAAATGAAATGTACTGTAATTAAGCATCAATATTTCTATCATTTTGGAAATTCACATATAAATTCCGCCAAATTAACCCAAACATGCATGTGAAATCTACCATTTCTTAAATTCTCATGTAAAATCCCCCAAACTAAATCTTATTCTAATAGGATAGGCCAGACCAAGTCATGTGCAGGCCTACCGCACTTTGTCACCAAATACCCTTTTATTTCTAAATCCAAGTCATCTAAAACCCATAATCCCATCCCAATAACCTATATCTTACATTTTGATCATTATTCACATAAAAAAATAATATATATATCACAGCATTGGGGGAAACCTCAGCAGCAGCAACAACAACAATTCAACGATCAAATCAAAAATCCTAATAAAGGTGAAACTAAAGTTAAATAACTAAAACCTTGGATTACACACAATACCAATGAAATATATAAACGCACAAACACACACACCCGTACACCACCACCAACCACCATACAAATGAACACGAAAAAAAACCTAGGGATCCAAGCAAAAACAAAAAAAAGCAAATAAATCTAGAAAAAGTTGAGTTTTTAAGAAAAAAGAAAAAACATCAAATAAAATTTACTTACAGGTTGAGAATTGGAATTAGTTTCATCCATTATTTTATCAGTCTCCATTTTCAACATGTTTTGTTGTAACTATGTACTTCAACAGATTTTAATATATTTAGTTATTTTTTTGCTTATAGTTTTCTATTCAATTGGATGCTGGGTTTTGCAATGTTTTCAATATTAACAAATATACACCACTAAAGTATAATTTATTATAAATATTTTTTTTTCTCCCTTTGGGAGCACACACAAATTAAATTTTCAATAATTACAAATAATTAAAAAAATATATATGGAAATCACAGTGAAATATCAAAAAAATATTTTAATTTCTTTTATAATAGAAAGGTAAAAAAAATCTTCTTCTTCGCACAACAATAATATGGCGACTCATCACCAGCAACTTCACAGAAGACAATTGAAAGTACTCGGTACCCTGATACTCAATACCTAATTCGTACCAATGTTGAGTGAATTTTTTTTCTTTTTTTGCTATTTGACAATGGTGGGCGATGAGCAGTTTGTTGCCTTGGCTTTAATCTGATCTGTTTATTAGCAAATTGGCTTTGCAATTTTTGCATATGAATTGCTTAAAATTGACGCCATTGGTATATATTTTTTAAGAACTCTATTCGTTTTGAATGCAATTTGTTTCTTTTTCGTGAAATTCAATACGAACGAACGACCATCCGTCGTTTGGCGAAAAAATAACTAAAATGGTACCTATAGACTAGGGGAAACTAAGTCGACTTTTGACAAATCGATTTGTTTTGTATATCGATTTATAAGCGGTCTTCTTCTTTGGATTCATGGCCTATAAATATATATATTAATAGATCTTGTTTGGATTTTATAAATGCCTGTCCAATCCAGACAAATTCTTGGTTTGTTCCAAAACCTACAAGAATGTACCATTTTTTACTACGATAACATATTTTTCTTTATGATATCGAAGAAAATAGTAAAAATTAGTAGATTATTGCAGTACGGGAACAGGCCATCTATTTATTTTTGCTTTGCCTAAATTTTCATTGGACAACTTCTAACTAATTTTTTGATATGAGCTTTTTTTATTTTAAAGTTGTCCTCGGAATATTGTCGAGTGTACTCCGAAGGTTATTTGGCCGCTATATCACCATGAAACATTGGAAGGTTTTACAGGTTAAATTCTATTTTCTCCAGAAACTTGATTAAATCATGAGTTTTATCAAATCCATATTTGTTTATGAAATCCACCGTGGATACTGAATTTTGGTATAAGCTTTTTTCATTACATGTTTATCGACATGATAACCGATATTGATTATTTTTTTATTATTTAACGATTATTAAAGCTGTGTACACACTATCACTTTGAAATGACACTCCTTCCAAAGTTTTTTTTTTTTTTTGATAGTTTGCCACAAAAATATTTATTGTTGTTGGACAGCCAGTAATCGATAAAAGTACTGACAGTCCAAAATGATGGTGTGTACGGCATATACAAGCGGTGTACACACAATTGAAACCCACTGGGTTAACGAAATCCGGTTAAATGTAAACGTACTATTAAGCGGTGTACACACAAGCACTTTTGAATGACAATTGGTCTGTTCCCGTACTACAAGAATCTACTATTTTTTACTACGATAACACTTTTTTCCTTTATGTTATCGAAAAAAAATAGTAAAAACTCATAGATTCTTGCAGTACGGGAACATAATGAATCTTGCTAAATTTTTGCTTGTCATCAGCAACCAGAAAAATATTCGTGGTTGTTGGACAGTCGGTTCCATATTGTGGCTTGGTATGCCAAAGTCTGTTCGATAAATTTTACTATTTTCTTCGATATCATAAAGGAACATTTGTTATCGTAGTACAAAGAAGTAGATTCTTGCAGTTCGGGAACAGACCAAAAATGTGTGACTGCGTGTGTAATGTTTTGAAAAATATAAAAACATATATTCTAAAATCCATTACTTTACAGATGAATTCATGGCATAATTTCAGAAGGTAGTCTCATTTGAGAATTTGATGATGGCAACCCTTTTAAATTTGGAACGCATCTATCAATTTTAATTAATATGAAAAATAAATTCCATAAAATTTTATGTATGTTGATTGACATATTGTCAATTAATTAAACAAAATGTATTTTCTAAAGCTAAACATTGCTCTCAAGATTTAACCATTGTTGTTACATCTTATATTTATAAGTTTTAGAGGCAGGAAACATCAAAATTGTTATAAATATAAATTATTTAGCAATTTTGGCCATGAACACATGATATGCGTACATTTCGAATGAAGATATTTCCATTTCAATTTTGAAATCTGAATACTGTCAAAGACAAATTTATAAAAAAAAAATGGGAAACATATGACGTTTTAGAGGCAGGAAACTTCAAAATTATTATAAATATAAATTATTTAGCAATTTTGGCCATGAACACATGATATGCGTACATTTCGAATGAAGATATTTCAATTTCAATTTTGAAATCTGAATACTGTCAAAGACAAATTTATAAAAAAAATGGGAAACATATGACTGCATGAGACTACCTTGTATAATTATGCCCTGAGATTAATTTTACAACATTTCTAAAAGGAAATTTATGATTTGTGTATGAATCAATATCTAAATCATATATCCAAAACGATTTTGAAAAGAAAATCTGGCATTCCATTCACTTGTTGTGTTTTTAGTAAATTTTTAAATATATGTCAAATTAACAAAACGACTTCTTGCATTTGTTTTTATTTATTCTGACATTATTGCCCATAAGATAGAGGTGTATTTATTCTTTGTTGAAAAAAAGATACAATAACTTGTTTAATTGTACCATGATTTTAGCATGTAATTTACAATTGTCAAAAATTAGCTAACGCAATACGCCGAGCATTAGGCGGAGACATTACGCCCTATGGAAATCGCCGTTATTTCTGACAACGGCTCTGTTTTCTAATTGTCGTCTTATGACTTCTTGTTGATAATCGTGCATCGGTGCATTTGTTTCGTCTGTTTTTTTCTTTTCTTATCAAATAAAATCCTAAAAATATATAAATATGCCAAATAATATAAGCGATATCAATAATCTATTGGATTCTTTGTATTTGGAGCTCCTAAATTTAATTGAACAACACACAGAATGTCGCATAAATATTGAACGTACAAGTAAGATCAATGAAGAATACACACACACACACACAAATTTCTTATTGCATTATTTATAAAATGTTAATTTTCTACAGGTAATTCTGGACAATTGCTTTTAGCCAAAACCAGATATAATCAAGGTTCCAATGCAATAAGTACAGCACAAATCCCAACAGAAAACAGTGAAGACTTTAAAGCTCTATGCTATGTGGAAAAGGAGGATAGTACTGAAAACACAATTGCTGGCGAGAGAAAACATTTAATAAGACATAAAGTGGAAAAAAGTCAAGGATTTGTGGAACCATTACATTGGTTTGCAGCATTACCACCCATGACTTTACGCAATGCTGCTGAACATTTTAAGAAATCCGTTGAATTGGTTGTCGAAGCGGCAAATATACAAACGGAATTATTAGCTGTTATGGATAGAATAGATAGTTTAAAACAAATTAAGAAACAACTGGTGCATTGAAATACATTTACATTGTAAGGCCACAAAGTTGCTATTGTTTTATTCACTTTTATATCAACGCCACCGCGTTTCTATTCGTTTTTGCAGTTAAACTTCATTTTAATTATATTGCCAATACCACATTCAATCACATCGCCGTCTTTAACTGGTAACGAATTTTTGGGTGTTCCTGTTAGTATGATATCATTGGGCTCCAATGTCATATATTTGGAACAGAAAGAAATCAAATCGGCAACATTAAAAATCAGATCTGCAGTGTTGCCTTCTTGTACAAGTTTGTCGTTAACTTTCAGCCACAAATCCAAATTGTGGGGGTCGACAATTTCTTGAGGTTTCAGCAAACGTGATACTGGTGTGGAAGTGTCAAATCCCTTGCCCAATGACCATGGATGTCCATTTTTACGTGCTTCACCCAATTCACACTGAGCAGTCATATCTAAGGCCAAGCAGTAGCCACCAACGTATGACAAAGCTTCTTCGCGGGATACATTTTTGCATGGCTTTCCGATAACAACACCCAATTCAACTTCATGTGCCACTTTGGAGAACACTTTTGGTATCTACAATGAAATAAAAACAAAAATATTTGAATATTTTTGTTTTCATTTTGAAAATCATCACGTGCATACCACAATATCCTGGCCCTCTTGAATCAAAGATGTTGATGGTTTAAGAAATACAACGGGATCTTTTGGTACAGGAACATTTCTTTCACGCACAATGTCCCTATATAATAAGAAACAACATCAAATCAAAAATGGGATAGCTTTCAAAATGTATGTCATACTTACATATAATTCAGTGCCGCCCCCAAAATTTTCTTGCTGGTGGTAGCAAATGATTCCAGATCACAGCCTGTAGACATGGTTCTACGTACAAAATGTTGACCGGCAATTTTTGCAAAATTCACTGCAATACAAAAGGCTATTAATATGAGTTTTTACAAAATATATTATTTTTTAAATAAAATATACGTTTAATTACAATGAACAATAGGGCCTCTTCACTCCTCTAAGGGTCGTTTCAATGTGAAACATTGTCTGCGCGTGTTATCACTTAATAAACTACTCTAAAGCACACAGACAGACACAATACATGGAACAACTCTCACTTTTTCCTTAATGCTGGAATTCTCTCCGAATTGTTGTTTAGAAAATTATTAATGTTATCGTTGCTGTGACCCCCACTGCTGATCACTTATTTAACAAGATTTTGCGCGTTGGAACAAAGCAACAGGGATGGAGAGAGGGGTGGTTATGGGGTTGACGTGTTTATTTGTGTGGAGCTATGTTAAAATCAGCTGTTATAAAACTAAATTGCATTTAACAGCTGAGATAGCATCAACAATTAAATTGTGTTTTTTTTGTGTTTTAATATGAATTGTTTTGTTTAAGAAATTTTAATATAAATATAACTGTGTAAAAAAATAATTTTAATTTACTATTGTGTAAGGGTTTGTATGGGAGCAAACAACAGGCGGAAATTTAAACTGTTAACTATTTTGACATTTCATTACAAAGCTGCCTTCGTATATTAACGGCGTTGGCCATGGACAATAACAGCTGTTTTTTATTGCTTGCTCAGCTGTTTCCCATATTCCCCACATTTTGGGCTCGCAATTTTCTTGTTGCGACGGCGTTATTTCTCTACGAAACGCTTTGTAGTCTACTGCAATTTGCAATCTGCTGTCTAGTGACCCCACAATTTGAAATAAATAATATCGATAAAATTAAAACAATAAATAAATTTTCAATAAATTTCTCATGGTATAATTATTCAAGTTGGCTATGGCGTTTACAAAATCTGTGACTGTGTATGTGATGTTGTGAAATATATAGAAGAATCTACTAGATTTTACTATTTTCTTCGATATCATAAAGGAAAATTCGTTATCGTAGTAAAAAGTAGTAGATTCTTACAGTATGGGAACAAACCAAATGTGTACAAAATGTTCCTACTGCTTTTACATAAATCATACATGTCATATCGAACTTGACACGAGTATTTCGATACAATCAAATCAGCAGGGTATTGCAGTTTCCTTGTATAATTGTACCATGATGTTTTCTGAAGAATGCCAAGACACCTTCTCTGTTTAAATGAGACCACAATGGAGGCATTCTATAAGACTCTTATTTTCAAAAAGGAGTTTTCACTAAAATGCCTTCTGCCCTATATGATTACCTTAAAGGTGTCTTCGATTTTATGGATATCGTTATCGAGGTCTTCTCAATTTTCTTGTTGCCACGGCGTCTGTTTCTATTCGAAAAAGCTCTGTAGTTTACGTAGTTGTATTTAATAAGGTCTTTCTAGGTCTTGAACATATAAAATGACTCCTCCAAGCCTTTTTAGATAGAAGACCTTCTTTAGATTTTGTATATATTTGGATTGCTTAATTTATTCTATGGTTTCATTTCATTTATTTCATACAATGTAATATAAAAAAGCCAGCATGGCCAATGACTTATGCGAATTCGGTTGAAAATCGCGCTTAAGAACCTCAAAATACCGAAAATTTGGGGTGCCCTTATATGGGGGCTACCAGAAAAAGTGGGCCGATATTTATAATTTTTAGTAGAGATATTTGGTACGCAATATGAACGCAATGTACAAAATTGCAGCGAATTCGGTTGAAAAGCGCGCTCAAGAACCCCAAAATACCGAAATTGGGGGGTACCCTTATATGGGGGATATCCGAAAAAATTGACCTATATTTAAATTTTTTTGTGGAGAGATTTGGTACCTGCTAAGAACTCAAAATACTAAATTACAGCCAATTCGGTGAAAAATACGATAAAAACCCAAAAAAATACTGAAAATTAGGAGGTACCGTTATATGGGGGCTACAAGAAAAAGTGGACCTATATTTATAATTTTTTGTGGATACATTTACTACAAATTCGCTTGAAAAACGCGCTCAAGAACCCCAAAATACCGAAAATTGGGGGGTACCCTTATATGGGAGCTATGCCTAAACGTGGACCGATATATCCCATCTTCGAACTTGACCTGCCTGCAGACAAAAGACAACCCTATGCAAAATTTCAGCACCCTATCTCAATTCCTTCAGAAGATAGCGTGATTACAACAGACGGACGGACATGGAGATCGTCTTAGAATTTTACCCTGATCAAGAATATATATACTTTATAGGGTCGGAAATGAATATTTCGATGAGTTACAAACGGAATGACAAAATTAATATACCCTCCATACTATGGTGGAGGGTATAAAAAGTACTGGAACAGACCATTTGTTGGCGAAGGTTTGCGTACGACGTCGCTTGAGTCTTGGCAGAACGACGATTAACAAGCGAATTTTATGAAGGCTGGAGTCTTGGAGGCTTCCCACTGTTCTTTTGAATCTCTCTCTCTCTCTCTTTTATTATTTTTTTTTCGTTTTTCCATATATAGTTCCTTTGCTCCATATAGTTCCTTTGCTCTTTATAGTTCCTATGCTCCAAATAGTTCCTTTGCTCCATATAGTTCCTTTGCTCTTTATAGTTCCTTTGCTCCATACAGTTCCTTTGCTTCAAATAGTTCAAAAAAGGAACTGGATCAGAGAAAGGAATTATATTAATTAAAGAACTGGAACTAGTTCCGTTCGTTCCTTTCTCGGAATAGTTCCAATGAACTAGTTCGTTCCGGAACTACCCAACTCTAGATTTTATTTTTCTCTTTTTCTCTTGAATAAATATTATAAACATTTGAATTATTGAATAATTTATTATTTCTGAAATTGTTCGTTACGTAGCAATAATTAAAGAAATTGCAAACATGTAAGTGATTGATAAATAAAAATAATTTATAAATAAAAAGACAGTGGTTTGCAAAAAACCACAACATAGAAAAAGAAAACAAATCAATTGGGTGGCTGATGAAAAGTTGAAAAAAACCGAGACAAACATCCAGCCAAATAAAATAATATGTATTGGTGCGGGTAGTTGTGGGGATTCAATACTATTGGCTTTGGTGCCACTAGTGAAAGCTTAGTAGTTAATACACACATCTATTATTTTTTAATTAAGTAGTGCAAATTACAATTATTAACTATAATATACTATTATTATTAACTTTCATTCTTTTAGCTCCAACACGTGTGAGTGTGCCAACAAAATAGTAGTTTCTCATCTGTGTTGGTTGGTTTGGTTTTTTTTATTGATATTCATAAAATGTTTTCTGAATTTGTTAATTTGCGAAGACGACAACGTCGACGTCATAGCACCTCTATTGTCACGGAAGAGGCAAGTCGAGTATTTTATTTGCAATATTATTTCAATTTGGAATAATGATAATAATAACTTTAAGAATTTGACCACAAACTTTCTAAGCCTTGTGTATCAGTGAACTCTTCTACTGTGAAGGAGTCACATAGTAGCGAAAAGCATCTTCTTTTGCTATTAAATTTACGAAAATTAAAAATTTCAAGCTGTTTGGATTTTGTTGAACACAATTTATAGGTTATCCGTATTTAAAAACACACGTGTTAGTTAAGCGAACGCTTAACAACCGCCATTTTGTAAAAATCTATTTTTAAGCCCGTGGGCGTGTAGTACTCATTTAAAATTTTTTTTACGTCTTTCTTGTGAGCCGTCCGAGGACGAACTGGATTATTTCAATTTGGAATAATGATAATAACAACAACAACCCCTTTGAGCACTCTTATCTATCGCCCAAAAAAATACTAACAACTGTTCACAAATCACCCTTACGTCGCAGATTGTTGGTCATTTAAACAAACATACGTTTATTCCATACTAACAATAACAAGACATATCTTGTGTTTTTCGTCCGTCTTTAGAATCGGTTCCATAAATCCAATCATTGAGCCTGAAATTCGAGGGTATGCTACAAGACACTTCTATTCTTCAATTAAAACCAGGAAATTTTAGTATGACTTTAAATAATTTTATAAATTTTAAAAGTATTATGGAAAAATGGAAATTTCTACGCACATTATTTTTCAATGGGCTAATATCAGAATGTGCAATACTCCCATGTCAAATGCATTTGTCTTCTTTACAATTGCAATTTACAGTAGCCAATCCCAATCTCCACATCGTTTTCAATTGGTTGTGTCAAGCCAATCATTAGGAGGTCACTATTTAAACAAAATATGTAATATTTATTTGTTGTAAATCAATATTGACAAAAGGTGCTGTACACATGGAAATGTTTGGATTATGGGCTTTTGTTTGCATTGCAGTATGTACGTATGTACAATATTAGACGAGTTGATATTTATAATTTAACCATTGTTTTAAGATATATTTTCAAGTTAACGTTAAATGACAACTACAATTGATTCCCCATAGTTACAGGTTGGGTTAATGCACTAACGACTGTCTATTTTGGCAAGGAATGAGATCATCAGTACGATAGTTTTGGATTTTGCTGATAAACTGAATTCGTTTGATTTTGATACGGTCAGAAACCCAAAAAATATTAACGAAACGAACTTTAGCACACAATGCTATTTTGAAATCATGGATCTTATTCGAATTTATAGCTCCCCACCGGCAATCCGAATTTATAGTCATAGGTCTTCCGTTGAAAGAGTCAGTGGTGTTCATGGAATTTGCATGGGAGCTCTGCAATGTTTATTGGTTTTATTTGAGTTTATATACC